CTCATGTCTTCCAAGGAGCACAGCGAGACAGCAGTGATGTCCTCCTTTTGTCTCACAACAAGCATGTAAGGGAGGCTAGGCTGAATGGCCCATCCCCTTCATGGATGGACGGGGGATTTGATGTTAGGTAGTCCTGGTCTGACACCCCACCCACCATCTCTCATGAGACACTTTCTCTCACACATGCGCATATGGATTTAAAAGCAGGGGTGGCTAACCTGTGGCCCCTTCGGCTATTATTGCTGGACTCCAGCTACCTTCATCCCTGACCATTGAACATGCTGGCTGGGGCTGATGGGAGTTGGAGTCCAATGACATCTGGAGGGCACTGTGTTGTCTAGCCTTGGTTTAAAGCACAGTTACATATCCTTAATTCAAAACATCTATTTTAATCATCAGCTCCCTTTCCACCCATTACCTCCCCTCCCCTCTCCCCGCCTGCCCACCCGCCTGATCTCCTGGCTTGTCTCCCTTAGAATTTCCATAGCAACAGGAGAAAACACACAAACGCAACAGCAACAACACAGTGCAGTCAGTTGGCAAAACATTCGATTCCCTGCTTTCATGCGAACCCGCTTCCCAAAAGGAGGCCGCCGCCGCCACCACAATCACCACCATCATGAGGAAACAGCATCACAAACAAAACATCCTCACTGGATGTGACGATGGCCACCAACTTGGATGGCCTTAAAAGAGGATTAGAGAAATTCACGGAGAAGGAGAAGGCTACCAATGGCTACTTGCCAGGTTGGCTATGCATTGCCTTCAGTGGATTTCCCACCTGGGTCCAGTTGGCCACTGTGGGAGGCTAGACAGGCCTACCTTGTTCAGATACAACCAAAAATGATGTGGGGAAAGTGGATAGGCAAAAGATTCCACCCCTTGGACATCCAAGGAAGCAGAGTGTTGGAAGACTCAGGACAGATTAAAGGAAGGACTTCTTCACCCAGTGCATAGATGAACTATGGAACTCCTTTCCACAGGAGGCAGTGATAGTCGCCAACATGGATGGCTTTAAAAGAGTATTGGACAAATTCATGGAGGACAAGGCTGTCAGCGGGTACTTAGCCATGATGGCTATGCTTTGCCTCCATGGTCGGAAGCAGAATTATCATTATTGTTGTTGTAATTAAATGTGTTTATGTACCACTTTTCAGTAGAAGTGACCCTCAAAACAGATTACATTAAAAATATATACTTCTTTTTTTTTACCAATGACAGAACATAATTACAATAATAGTAAACTTTCCATATTATCAGTGAAGAAGAGAAGGAGGAGTTTGGATTTGATATCCCGCTTTATCACTACCCTAAGGAGTCTCAAAGCGGCTAACATTCTCCTTTCCCTTCCTCCCCCACAACAAACACTCTGTGAGGTGAGTGGGGCTGAGAGACTTCAGAGAAGTGTGACTGGCCCAAGGTCACCCAGCAGCTGCATGTGGAGGAGCGGGGATGCGAACCCGGTTCCCCAGAATACGAGCCTACCGCTTTTAACCACTACACCACACTGGCTCCTACAATAAAACCACAAAAACCAGCACTAAAGGAACACAAGGAGTTGCCTTATACTGAGTCAAACCATCTAGCTTTGTATTGTCTACTCTGACAGGCAGTGTGGCTCTCCAGGATTTCAGGTAGAAGTTTCTCTTAACCCTTCCCGGAGATGTCAGGGATTGAATGTGGAACATTCACCACTGAGCTATGGCTCTTTCCCAAACAAAACCATAAACTAAAACAGGTTCAAGGCTCCAAAACAGACTAACCACAGTGTGCCTTTGAATGCCAGTCACTGAGAATCGCAAGTGAGGATAGTTGTTGTTGAGATACAGTTCCTGTGAAGTTCCCCATGAAGAGGGATTGAACTGTTAAGCCACTCTGGGAATTGTAGTTCTGTGAGGGGAATAGGGGCCTCCTCTCAGCACCCTTAACAGATTACGGCTCCCTGAATTTGGGGGGGCAGGGAAGCCATGACTGTTTAAAATAGCATCACGGCACTTTAAATGTATTGGTGGCCTTAGCCACGAAGAAACACCTGCACTCTGGCACACCTTGAAGTTTTGACAGTATTTCAAGGGGTCCCCAAATAGCACAATATTGGTAGAACACAGTTTTCATTATTTATTTATTTTAAATAAAACTGCACTATTTCACTTGAAAATATGGATGGACTGAAACAATTAGCTCACACAAACTCGTTTCAAAACACCTGTTCATTCACCTGGCCATGTGGGTTGTCTCTTTCCTCCCCAACCCCATACTCCCCCCCCCCCGCATATCCTATATTTCTGATTCCATTCCATCCCCAATCTGTCAGTTCATTTAACATACTTTATGCTCTCACAGACAATTATGATAAATAATGAGACAAGATGGGGGGGGGAGGGAGTCAGGCAGGGCAACCATGGAAGAGGAACACGGTTGCTAAGGGGTTGCGTGGCAACTGGGGAAGTGTATGTCTCTCTTGTTTGGTGAGATATCTCTGGATGGGATGACTGGGAGGGTGGCGAAAGGGCCACCTCAGGAGGGCAGGAAGCTGAGTTAGCAATACGATCCAATTGGTGGTTTCTAAACATGGGACCACACCACTAATTTCAGATGTTTCCAAAAGTGCAAACTGGGGAGTGGACAGTGGTCAGGAAGGTAAGAAGTACCGTATTTTTCGACCATAGGACGCACCTTGTTTTAGAGGGGGAGAACAAGCGGCAGGAGAAACGGAGCCCCTTCCATTTCTCCTCCCACTTTGCTGAAGGGGCGCTGCGCAGCTCTCCCTCTCTGCTGAAGCCAGGAGAGTCTTGCTCTCCCGGCTTCAGCAAAAGGAACCCGAAGCCTTGAGCGCAGTGCGAGGTCCCGCTGTGCTCCAAAGGCTTCAGGCGGCTATCCCTGAAGCCTGGAGAGCAAGCGGGGTCGGTGCGCACCGACCCCTCTCGCTCTCCAGGCTTCAGCGAAAGCAACACGTAGCCTCCGGAGCGCGGAGGGAGCGCTCCCTATGCGCTTCGGAGGCTTCGCGTTGCTATCGCTGAAGCCAAGGAGCCTGCATTCGCTCCACAGGACGCACACATATTTCCCCTTAATTTTTGGAGGGGAAAAAGTGCGTCCTATAGAGTGAAAAATACGGTAGATAGCGGCAGGAGCCATGGAAAACAACCACAGCATGTAGGAAGGAGCGTGACAGGGTACATGGTAGGGACAAAGCAGAGCTTGGTGCAGGAAGCACATCCAATCTGCCATCTTGCAAAATCCACAGGTGGGCAACACCTTTGTTTCAGGGATGGAGAACCTGGTGTCCTCCAGCCGTTGCTGGACTGCTGCTTCCATAACTCCTGACCGCTTGCCATGCTAGCAGGGACTGATGGAAACTGGAGTCCAAGAGCATCTAGAGAACACGAATGTGGCAAAAAAAGCACAAAATGCCAGCAGCAGAAGATTCAGCACTGCCTCTCCTCAGACCAGGAAGGGAGCAGGGCAGGACTGGGGACTCTGATGTTGCTTGACTACAGCTCCCATAATTCTTGGCTGTTGGCCATTCTGGCTGAGGCTTATGGGAGCTGGAGTCTAATGAGGGCATCAGGTTTTCCCAACCCTGTAGGTAGGGAAGAAACTGCTTCCTAAGGATAATAAGTATTATTGTTATTTACATTTGTGTACTGCCCTTCATCTGAAGATCACAAGGCGGTTCACAACATAAAAATACAAAATGAAATCACAAAATACATAATAAAAAGCGTAAGAAACCAATGACCTCCCTCATTTAAAAGGCCACAGAACATTAATCAGCCACAGAACATTAATCAGCTCAACACCTGGCTGAAGAGGAACGTTTTCACCAGGTGCCTAAAGATATGTAATGAAGGCGCCAGGTGAGACCCATCAGCACAGCTTCAATGCACCTTTTATCATGTGCAAACAAAAGCGTTATTCATACACACACACACACCAAATGTTGTTTTGAAATAGTTTGGGAACAACATATACTAGTGTGGGAATCTGCAAGGCTTTAGGTTACACCAAACTCTTCCTTTTGCCCAGCACAGAGTTCTGGGCACTTGCACTGTTGTATCCCAAGAGAGCTGATGGGAGCTGTGGTCCAAAACATTTGGAAGGTGCCAGGTTGGTGAAGGTTGCATTAAGCCATCTAACCCAATTTTGTTGGCTCTTGCTGCCTGCAGCTCTCTGGGGTCTCAGGGGAGAGTAGTTCCCAGCCCTGGCTGTTCATAACCTGGGAAATTTACTATGGACAACTGCTAAGTTACAGGCAAAACCAGCCACCCCCCCAGCAGGGTGCTGGCTGGGGCTGATGGGACCTGTCATCCAAAACATCTGGAAGGCACTCAGCTGGGGGAAGGCTGACACAGGCTGTGCCTCGAAGCTGCCTTGCGATGCAAACTTTTTTCTAAAATAGGGGTTGAAAAATCCATCACTCACCATCCTCGCCTCTTTCCCGTTTGAAGCAGGGTGCCCTTTTGACCTCTAACATCAGCTGCCGACTGGGAGAAAACAGATGCCAACCCTGCCAGCGATTACCAGTCCCCTTTGCCTCTGGTTCCCTGGATAATGATGCCACCTAGTGGAGCAACCTTCTCTGCAACTCTTATTTGGAACGGGTGTTTTTCCATCTATCTCCTATATTTGTAATAGAGGCCACTTTTCTAAATTAGAGGTGAAACAGAGCCAATATTCTGTTTTGGCATTGATGAGTTGTGTTTCAACAAAACTGTGTAATTGCTCATAGGAAACACAGGAGTCAGACTTATACAGAGTCAGACTACTGGGTTCATCTAGCTCAGCATTGTCTGCACTGACTGGCAGCAGCTCTCCAGGGTTTCAAGCAGGGGACATCACCAGTAGGGATTGAGCCTGGGACCTTCTGTACACAGAGCAGATGCTCTGACACTGAGCTATGGGCTAGGCAGGTCAGGTGGCCCACAAATGGTTACAGATGCTGCTTGTTTCTCTCCCTTTAAAAGGATTCGATCATTTTCTACACCAAATGACACTTTATCCCAAAGCAAATGCATTTATTTATTTAAGGCATTTATGTACCAGAACGATTAGCATATCTAAGTGGTGAATTTAGCATTAGGGGAGAAGTTAAGTGAGTTTTTAAAATGCAAATCTGCATTTCAATCACAGTTAATGAAAGTGGCTTTTGTTTGGGTCCCGTCCCCCCCATCTAACATCACAGGAATACAGAAGCAGTTGGAAAGCATGGGATAGAGGTGGGAGGAAAAAAATGTTAATTGTCTTTAGATGGCTATGTGAAGCAGTTAAGTCTTTGGTCTAAATTTATCTAGCTCAGTGGTTTCTCTGGGCCACATTTTCAGAATAAAAACTTGCTCATGCCACACCTATTTTTTTATTCATAAGAACAACACTGGAAAACATAACTAGGATTGTCCTCAATATCACTTGATGCTCTTGCTCTCATTTTGAAGAGATATCTATCCATATTCTGCAAATTAAAAAATAAATAATTTTTTTATACTATACTATACCGTATTGCACTGAAATGTCTTCATGTTTCTTTGGTTGTCCCTGAATCTTCACACCACACTTGCCATCCTCTCCTGCTACACTGTTGTATTACGGTATTTTAATATTTTGTTGGAAGCCACCCAGAGTGGCTGGGGAAGCCTAGCCAGATGGGCGGGGTATAAATAATAAATTATTATTAATGTTATTATTAACCACTGATCTAGCTCCATCAGTGACTATAATTCCCATCAGCCCCAGCCAGCACAGCTGTAGCTGCTGATGGGCTTTGTAGTCTAAAGCACCTGGAATGAAGACATTTGGTGAAGGCTGAACTAAGTAACACTCAAGAGGCAGACTAAACCCTTCATATTCAGAAGGAACCTTTTCACTCTCTGGGGTAAATGCTACTAATAAATAATTGTGGTCCAAAATGGCCATGCCAGCTGGGGTCAATGGGAGTTGTCGTCAGAAGCACCTGCAGGGAACCAGGTTGACAAAGGCTGTCCCAAGCACTCATCTTTGAAACTCTATTAAGAGTGAATTATGACCCACAAATTAAATACAATTCTATTTATTTATTATCAAATCCCTTGAATATATAATTTTTTAAAAAGCCCACTAGACTTCCACTAGTTCAGCAATTACATAAACCAAATCTAAATGCTGCTGAATGGTGGAATATATCTTAAAGCAGCAATAATGATATAACCCAGCAGCTGACAGCATTAATGCAAACTAGATATCATAATTAAACATTTGCCGGTCAATACTTGGATTTCCAGAGATCAGGCAGGGGCCCTTAATTGTCAGTATTTTTGCAACAGCATTCCAAGCATTATTTTTAAAAATGCACTGATATAAATAACTTTTTTTAAAAAGCACACTGGAATTTTAAAAAACAACAGTTGAGGGTCTTTGGTATCTCTAATGTCAAGTCTATTGGAACTTATTTTCTGTTGTAGTTGCATCAAAGAAGGAAGTAACACAGACACATATGGAATCAGTAGAAATCAGAGACACAGAAAAACAAAGCAGAATAGGAGTGAAATTTTCCTGGTGTGTAAAATTTCCATCCATCACTAATTGGGGAGTGTATGGTTGACTCTTCATCAGAGACTGGCTGATGAAGGATTGCAGAGCATCTTTTTCTCCAATCTGGTGCACTCCAGAAGTTTTGGACTATTGATCCCAGCATGCACTGGCTAGGGCCAATGGAAGCTGTAGACCAAAACATCTGGAGGGCATCAGGTTGAGGAAGGCTGGCACAGGGCCAGCATAAATATCCCCCTCTCCTCTCTGATAAATCCAGCCTTTGTGACTTTAAAAATACTTGCATCTAGTGACTCTACATGGGGGCCCACATTATTATGGAAGACCCCATTGTACAAGTAAATTCCCAGCACATTGTAAACGATCCCAGAGAGAACAGTTCTACCTTAGACTTCTCCCTGAGATGCAAGCATTCTACATGCAAGGATTAAAAGAAAACAAAATTTTGTGCAGAGAAGCATCCAGTCCTGTCTTTCTGAAGTGGTCCGGCCCGGATGCAGGTTGACCACCACCCCAGTGAGAATTAAGCCAGAATCAGGAATTTTGAGTTGATTATCGTGGGCTTGCTTGTGGTTCAACACAAAAGCACTGTGAGCACCACTGTCTCTTTGGTACCACCGAGCTACGCCTAGAAGACATTGGTGCCCATTTGACCTTCAGGCCTTCATTTATTTCTTGAAAAACTTCTTATTGAGGAGGAAGATCAGGAGGTTGACGTTGATTCTGGCTTTGTCAAACATTTTCATGATGGCGACACCCTCATACTGGAGCTGGAGAAGGTCCTGAGAAAGAGCAGGTATGGAGAGAGGAAAGTCAGCCGCATTTAAGTGTGGTAGCGTCCGCCCTATGGAACTCCCTGCCTATTGATACAAGGCAGGCACCTTCACTGTACTCTTTGGCTCCTGCTAAAAAAATTGTTTGTTTCAACAAGCCTACCCAGATGTTGTTGTGTGTTTTAGTCTGCTTTTTTGCTGATTTCAGTCTTTAAAAATGTTTTAAATTGCCTTCAGATTTAGAAGGCGATTAATAAATAAATTATAACAGCAATAAAGCACACTACCTTGAGCTCCTTGGAAATAAACATAAGAATGGAACTGTCCTCGTGAACCTAGAATTGCACACTGGCAATGTTATAATTTGAGCAAAAGGACAGCTCTGCCAGCTCCTTACCTGGTAGTGGAGCTGAAACTTCTCCATGTCAACTCCCATAAATTTTGCCTTCACCTGGAACTTGCCAGCTTCACCGCAAGGGATTATTTCAAATATCACATTCCTGAGTCTGGAAAAAGAGGGGGGGGGGGGGGAAATGATGGCAATTTTAAAACCATAGAGGAGAAAGAGGGCAACTGGAGGTCAGGATCCTGGGATAATTCTTGGTACCAAGTGACAGCATGGAATAGTGGCTAGTGGTTTGGCTTTCAGCAGTGAACAAATCGAACTCAGCCACCAAATGCATGCTCCGCCACTGAGCTAAAGCCCATAAACTCTGATTTCATGCAAGCTTGCTGGTTCGACCTTAGACGGCTCACACGAGCAGACCACGCAAATGAGCTGGCAACCAAGTTCAAGAACGAGCACTCTGGGGAGAGGCTGGTTACAAAAGCCTGAGAGCATGGAGAGAGGAGCTGTAGTTTCCATTGGATGGAACTGGAGAGGGCAGGAGGCGCCTGGACTTACTGGCTGGCTGGCAGGTCTTCAATCTCCAGCAAAACACCTTTCTCAAAGAGGCGGGCTGCTGTGTAATGTAAGGTTGCTTGTTTCTTGCTGGGCCTGTAAAAGAAAGGGATATGCATGGTGTTTGTAGACAGGGCCTTTTTAACAACCCTCATAGTCCCTTCCGACTCTGCCCATCTACTTGCCCCCTTTACTGAACACAAGCCAAGCCAGAGGATGCCTCAACTGCTGGTGTAGCCCAGGGCTGGCTAGTCCTTTTAGGCCAGACGGTCACCCGCACCCTTGGCCAACCCCTGGGGGGAGGTGCATGCAGGCCATCCCCCCACCCTCACACACACTCTTTCTCACATATACAGGATTATAAAATTATAAAAACCATACAATAAAAGCAGTAGTAAAAATATACGAAGAAAACTCTTTGGCAAGGATATACAGTCGGACCTTGGATTTCAAACGCCTTGGCTCCCGAACAAATCGGCTGCTGAACGATTGAAGTATGGAAGTGAGTGTTCTGGTTTTTGAACAATTTTTGGAAGCCGCACCTTGGTTTTCGAATGGTTTCGGGGGTTGAACAGACTCCCAGAACGCATTCTGTTAGAGAACCAAGGTACGACTGTATACAGCAGGGGGAGGGGAAAAATAACTTCAGGCCCAAGTGCCACAATTGGCCCTCCAAACAGCTCTATCCAGCCCTAAGGATTCTCTCCAGCCACTCCCCCACGCCAAACTCGCCCTGCTTTGTGCCCTCCCCTCAAGTGCTTTGGCCTGGCCAGAATGTATGAGTGTAGGTAGCATGAGCAACTGAATTCAGATGGAAGTGAGATTTATTCATTTCATTTTATTGATTCAATTTATATCGTGCCCTTCATCAGAAGATCTCGGGGATTTTCACAGAATTAAAAAAATAGATGATAGAAAATGAAGGTGCCAAGGACAGAGTGGCAATTACCTAAAAGCAAAATCCTTAAGGAAGCCCCATTGCAGTAATCCAACATGAAGGTTACCAGGGCATAGATACCCTTGGCCACATTACATTTTGCCAGGGACCTGATGCAAGCGGAGAACAAGCCCTGAGCTACAGCCTGCACACACACACAATTTCTGGCTCAGGTGCATCAGTTACAAGCCTGAGATTAATACCAGGCTTACTTGTTTCTAGCTGCCAGGTTGTCCAGACACGTCCGGATGTACTGGTTGTAGTAGTCGACCTGCTCCTCAAAAAACATCCTCTTGGTGCTGAGGCTGTGCAGAATCTGGCGCAGCTTGGCCAGCTCCGTCTTGCGCTGTTGTCGGTACTTCCTCTGGTTCCGGATGTCCTATGGGCGAGAAGGGCAGGGTATGTGCAAAGGAGATTTGGCCCAGCATAAGCTGAGACCGTTGGAAGCATACAAAGCAATTCTTTCTCTCCTCCTTGTTACGCTGCATTCATTTTCCTCCCAGTTCTGTTCCTTAACCTTCTTTGCTATTCTTACTGGGGTTATTGTTATTTTATAGCTGCCTTTGATGCAGTCAGCCCATTGGCCCTTCTAGCTCAGTACTGTCTACACTGGCTGGCGGCAGCTCTCCAGGGTTTCAGGCAGGGAGTATTTCCAAGCAGTGTTAGAAACTGAGATATGAAATCTAGGAGCTAAATGGCACCTTAAGCCTAGGTTATGGGCGCTGCAATGGAGTGCTTAGGTGCGCTTTTTTAAAAACAAGAATGCAAAGCTGAAAATGAACGAACTGCAGCTGAAATCTTATGTTCACTTTTCACATGGTCTATCTGAAGACTGCAAAAAACAAAGCCATACTTCCCCTGCCTGCCCCCTAATATTCTTATGAAGGGCCCTCCTCTAGTCTTCAGAGAGTGGCTGGAAGTGGGGAGGCAGAAAAAGGTCCTCCTTTTCTTCCAGCAGTGACAAGTTTTAATCTGAAATCTTAGGCTCAGTACTGTGCCCAGAGCTCAGAAATGGCTTGTGCTAATAAAATTCCCTGTCGCAAAACGCGCCTAGAACAATGGGAATTTCGAACACTGTTTCCAAGTCTCACTTGAAGATGCTGCCGGAAATTGAACCTGGGACTTTCAGCAAGAAAAGTAAATGTTTGCCCACCAAGCCAAAGCCCTTCCCCAAAGTGGACTGTCCTGCTTTGTTGGCTAGAAAGAGATCTAATGAGCACCCTCCAGATGGTTTGGACTACAACTCCCATCAGCCACAGCATTATATGGCTGTGTCGACAGGGGCTGATGGGACTTGCAGTCCCAAACAACTTGAGGGTATCAGGTAGGTGAAGGCAGATAGATAGCTATAGATCCATCCCAGCAATAAAAAATATTTTGCCCCTTGTGATGCATGGTACATTCTTCTCCATTCCCTGTTCCTTGTCTCTTGTTCTTCCCTTGAGATTTCTCAGGCACAGAGCCCTGCATACCTTGGCCATCTCATTGATGATGTCCTGGTACTGGTTGGCAGAGTCCACCATGCCCAGGCTCTCAAGACGCCGCAGATTCTTGAGGATGATCCGCTGCTTCTCTGCTATTGAGAGGTGGCTGTTACTGACCAGAGTGTGGTTGCATCTCAGCTTGTCTGGGGCTTGGGCATTGCATAAGGCCCTTCTCTTCATAAGGTGGTGGTGGAGGGCTTCCTGGAGAGAAAGAGAAGACCGGCTCATGCTTTTCTACTTACGCTAAAGGGAAAATATTTCACAATAGGTAGGAAGGGAGAGTGGTGCCTTGCCAATGTCCTGCATGATGGGTTTTATTAGCTTTAAAGCTGCATCGATGGCCAATCATTACATGCTGAATTTCACTTACTAAGAGTGAGAAATGGTCTCATGATCATTCAGATAGCCTGGTACAACTGCATACACTCAAGATTTACTTGCAAATATTTATCCATCCAGAAATTGATTTTGTTTTTAACAACTTAAAAACCTTTTGGCTGTGCCTTCCATTTTCTGCAATACACACAGGCACCTATGTTGCAGAACGGACTTACCTGATCCTCTGATGCCTTCGTCTGCAGCATCTCCACAAGAGAATCGCCAGGTTGGAACTGGATCACATCGACCAGCATCTGCTTAGTGCTTTAAAAGATAGAAGAAAATAGTGATCCAGTTTTGGTATCTGCAGAGAAAGGACATTTTCACTCGCCCCACCTCCCCCGAGCATTTCCCAAACCAATGGGGGGGGGTAAGAGCGGGGGGGGAAGCACATCTGGCAACCAATGTGCCCCTTTGGTTTCAGACAGTACATGGGTAGCCGAGTCTAAAAAGCTCAAGACACAAATTTTCACAGGCCTCTAGCAGCTTTTGTGGCTCATTTACCAGAAGTAACGTATTCAGCGTTAACTCTGGAAGTGTATACTTGATTCGGACCAAACTAAGCCTCCTGCTGAAATACCTTGTCATTATTTTCAGCTCTCCCACCCCACTACAATTACTGTGCTTTAATGCAGGATAGTTGCTTTATCATTCCAGCTGGAGATCTCTATGAAACCTCAGCAAATAGGAGTCGAGGGTCTGCTTTGCATGCCCAGGTTCATTTGTTGGAATTTCTAGTTAAAACTACCATGGAAATAAGGGCTGAAAAATACTGTATTCCTTTGGCTGAGCCGCTACCTATCAGCGTTGACCAGCCTCCACCAATATCATACTCTCCAGATGTTTTGAACTACAAGTTCCATCAGCCCCAGCCAACATGGCCTACACGCTGGACTACAGCTTTGCTAGCTGGAGTGAAGGGGAGTTGTGGTCCAAAACATCTAGACAACACTAGGTTGGGCAAAGCCTGATGTTCAGCAGTACTGAGCTTAATGGACAAATGAGCTGACTCAGTCTAAAGAATCTTCTTACATTCACAGCAAAATAGGATTGACAGGCACCTGGGCAAGGACATCTCTTCTTTAGGCAAAATTTCACACTGGGTTGTTGGAACAAGAACCAGGATCTTAGGCATGGGATTTTGGCTCTAACCCTGAACAAATTTAGGCAGCTTCCTGGGAGCACCTAGATTATATATCTTGCCCAGGAAGTCAATTCACACGCAAACATCATTTTTCTGTTTGGGCGGGTTTGCTTGTAATTTTCTGCCAGTTACAAAAATGATAGTGATGCACTCTGCCCTGTCTCTGACATTATTTAATATTCGAAAGGTTTCAGGTCTTTAAATGTGGGCATGTCCATTGTTTACTCTTGTGACTTTCTTGGTGGTTATTATTCATTGCAATTCTAATTATTCTTCCTGTACGAGCCCAGAGTGGTTATGCATCATCATCCTTTTTAAAAAGGCTTTTGCTATAATTGATACACCTAAAACTATATCTTTAAGATATAGAAACAGCCTCATGTTGCTGAGTCCTCAGATAGCATTCGTATCCCAAAAGCCAGGGTAGGCCTGTTACAATGCAGTCATCCACCCACCTCAACAGCAAGCTTTCCGTATCCTTTCCCCCCTCAATATTGGCCTCCGCCACATCAAATTTGTTGCCAAGGATGAGTGAAATTTCCGTCTTGGCGAGCTGAGTCAGAGTTTGCTCCGAAGTCCCATTGGCTCCGTGTCCCACACTGTCACCTGCAAATAATAATAAAACAAACATCAATAATATAAAATAAGAAAAATCATAAGTACCACTAGCTATCTCAGCTTCAGATTAAACCTCGGCATCTCCAAAACAATTCACAGCAATATAATCTAACTCTTTCCTTCTAGTCTTTTTTTTGCTGCCAGTGCAAAAAAGAGCTACTTTTTGTATCACGAAGCCACTTGTGTCACTCAAAAGAAATTTGATTGTTTCTACCAAGGCATTCCTGTTTCAGTATGTCAGCAAAGGTTTCAGAAATCTCTCTTGGAATCCCAAATAAAGGACAGATCAACAGACAGTGAACGGCATATTCCACCTGATATTGGCCACAAATACTGCGAGAAAGAAATATTTTTACAAATGAAAAGTAAGTCTTTACTCATGTGTGCAAATGAATAGACAGGGGCCTCAATGTTCAGGAAGGGTTGTGGGTAAGCCTGCAGAGGATTGAACTATACTTTATTCTTTTACTTCCCTACCCAGTCCTTAGCAGTGATCTCTCCCCCTATCACAGGGACTGTTCAAGATAGCACTTCTATTGCTAGTACCGCCACATTCTTAGGAGTGTTAACTGGGTTATCATTCTGGCAACATGCATCTGATGAAGTGGTCTATGATTCATGGAAGTTTATGCCACAATAAATGTGTTAGTCTTTAAGGTCCCACAAGTCACTCTCGTCGCTTTTCCTGCAAGAGAGACTAGCACAACTACCCCTCTGGAAAATGTAATTTGTCAAGTTGAAATTTGTGCTGTGCTTTACCCATTAGAGACTGGATGGTGGGCAAGCCTCCAAGGTCTTCTAGAAGTTCGTGTAGAGGGTCTCGAGGTTCAGGAGCCACGGAACGCTGGTGCTCCAGCAGCAACTATCAAATCACCAAAGATGAAAGGCCATAAATGCAATGCTTGTTTATTTATGTGCATAAATATCTTAGGCTGCTTTTCTGCCAAAAAGGCATTCAAAGAAACATACAAGGACACCAGAATAAAATAAATGCATCAGAATGCTTGAAAGCACCAATTAACCAATATAAATATAAAATGCTATTTTAAAAACAGATGTAAAAATCCAGTTTAAAAAGGGAACAGGAGTTTGAGCAAAAATGGAACAGGGGAAGTGAAAGAAAAATTAATCAAGAATAAGGTAGCCAACTGAACTCATTGCCACAAGAGGGTGCTATGACAGCAAATACAAAAGCATCAGTGGCACAGTTAATTACTAATATCCACAGAAAATGATAGCTTAGTGTGAACAAGTAAACCTGAAGTATCCCAGAGTGAAGACCACAGCCACATCATTCTTCCCCCAGTGCTGTTGCTACTGGGCTACCGGGCACTAAACCATGGTTTGGTTTAAGGTAACATCTGAACCCAGGATCATGGTTTATGAATGGCAAATCAAGAACAATAAAATTGTGGCTCAGTCGGGTAGCACAGTAGCATCAGAACCAGGCAGGAGCACTGTTGCCGCGATCTTTACTCCAGAAACCCACAGGTGTGAATGTTCCTTCTAAAGTTCCAGCCCTTCTCAACCTTGGGTCCCCAGATGTTTTTGGCCTACAACTCCCATCATCCCTGACCACTGGTCCTGTCAGCTAGGGATCATGGGAGTTGTAGGCCAAAAACATCTGGGGACCCAAGGTTGAGAACCACTGTTTGGCTTAGTGTTTTCTGTGAAGCATTTGTTAATAACTTCATTGTGCATAGTTTGGACCAGTGGTTCCCAAAGTAGATAGACAGATAGATAGAGTGGTGAATGGCACTATTTAGCAGGACGAAACTCCAATAAAAATCCTTGTTATTACCTATTTTTACATGGCTGTTTATTTGTATATCTTTTAAAAATTTATATATATGGATGTTTTATGATGGCCTATATTTGTAATGCCTAATAAAGGTTTGGCTAAGTAAGTAAGTAAGTAAGTAAGTAAGTAAGTAAGTATAATTTCACCCCCTCACCTTATGTGTGTTAATTAGCTCCCCAACTGTTATGTAGACCACTGGCTTTGTGATGGCCACCATCTCTGAATACTTGTCAATATTAAACCTCTCTTCTGGTTCAGGGACAGAACAGGCAGCACTGATGAATCTTCTAGAAGGTGCAGAATGAAAAACCAAATCAAACCATGAAGGGTGTCCCCCTCCCCACACACTCATGCTCAAGTCGGGTCGTTTACTTCAAGGCTAGGATATTTGGAGGCCTGACCCTCTCCATGACGCCTTTAATTCAATGCAGTCATGCATAAAAGCCCATACATTTGATTCTTTACTAGTCTGATGTAACATATTAGTGGCTTAAGGTAAAGGTGGGAAGACTTCAGACTTGCAGGATCTAATCTTTTTCTCATCAATCAACCAACAAAACAAAAAAACCAAGCAGCAGAGCAGCACAGGGATCAGGTGCAATGTAACTGGCTGATACTCCCATTTTACAGATAGAAACATAAAGGCCAAGAGAAAAAAAATTAGTACAAAGCTAGCCAGTGAAGCTTTTGTATGTTCAATTTTAACTTCCAAATATCTTTAGGAAATTGATTAATAAGAACGCAGGAAGCTGCCTTACACTGAGTCAGACCATTGGGTCCATCTAGCAGAGTATTGTCTGAACTGACTGGCAGCAGCTCTCCAAGGTTTCAGGCAGGACTCTCTCAGGCCAACCACTGGGGGGGCTGAATCTGGGACCCCACTCCACACCCCTAGAACTCTCTATCCTCCTTCCAGCCAAGCAAGAGATAGGATCACAGTTCAAGAGCACATTCTAGTCAGGCAAAAGCACCCAAAGAGGGCGTGGAACAAGGCCTGTGAGAGCCCCAAGGGCCAAGCAGAGAGGTGCCCATTGTTTCCAGGCCTCATTCCACTCAGCAGTTCTTCAAACCAACCTGAATTTAAGGTGGGTTTCCTCTAGGTACTGGTTCACTACCCGCAAGTGGCTGTTTTCCCCTTCAAAGAGTTGGTTGGCAGCGGCGTGCTGCAAGACCTTCGCAATGGAGCCCAGGTTGCGCCTGTGGTCGGGGTGGAGCGCTACCCCAGCCGAGACGTCAACAATATCAAAGCCATCAGGGGCCACCACAGCCGGGTTCATGAAACGATAGTAGAGCAGGTTCCCAACAACCTAGGAGAGGGGTTGGCCGACTGTGTTAAACATTTACAACTGAGCAGGGTCGCCTTCATTAGAGCCCAACATTTTAAAGCTTCCATCCCAAGCAGAATTGAATAACTGATAATATTTGTTTAACGTATTATACTATGGTGTGGGGAGGCCATTTTTTTCCTGCCAAAATGCCAGGACTACATCGGTACATCTTCTTTCTCTCAGCCTCATTGTCAAGTCCCCGATTCCCGCCATTTCTCCTTGACCTTTTCAATTTCCCTCTGATTATTTTGAAAGGAATGATTAAAAACAGAACAACAGGCAGTACTCATAATGTAGTACTATAAATCTTAGACCCAAGTCCTGCCTTTGAGAAGCCGAGGGTCAGAAGAATATAAAATGGCTAGTGTGGCAGCCGTCTTAAAAGTCACTTCCCGGCGCGGCTACAGCAAGCATTTGGCCCACACTAACGCACCCCAGAAACCGCAACTCGAACTCTTGTCCTGCTGATTACGGCCATCCGTCCCTCAAGGCCATAAATACACCCACCTTGTAGATCTCGTCCTCTGTAGAATTTGGAAACTTCTCTCGTAAGGACGTCTTCAAGACTTTGGCAATGTAGCGCATCCCATAACTAGAGGGGAGGGCAGAGGGAGAGCAAAGTGCCCATTATAGTAAAAACTGTAGCTCATATTCCAATATACCATCATTTTCATAGGGATACAAGACCCTGATTTATCTCCTCAGTACTTCTTCTGCACCTGGGGAGCTCAGATAAATTCTATGCTTTAAAGACAAATTCTAGCACTAGGTTTACAGAAAGCATAGGCATGGGATGTGGGGGGTTGTGAGGAGCGGAGAAGGGAGAATCCCTGCAAGGTGAGGGGTGTAAGGCTGGTGGCTTGTATGATGCAGAAACTCAAGGAAGGGAAGCAGCGTAAGGCGGCTGGATTTCTAAGATGGGATGGAAAGCTGGGCGGCCATCTTGTTTTCCCCTGTGATGACCGAGCAAAGTGAATCATAAAAACACACACGAAACAACAAGAAATTCATACGGAATTTGGTCCACAGAAGCTGTAATGGCCGAGAGGAACTTGTCCGTCACCGCCAGGAGATTGCGGATGGAAATGTCCAACCTCCTCTGCACCTCAGGGTGACCCAGGGCTTGCTCAGGGCTGACATCGTACGGGAGATTGCTGTGGAAACACACAAATGCATTCCAGGCCTCATCCAAAACCAACCAACCAACAACAAGAAAGACACGAGTTGAAATGCCCCCTTTTTCAGGGTGGCAGATTAGACGTGGGAGTGCAAATCCCGCACTAGGCCACAAAGTTCACCAGGGGTTCACCAGGGGACCTTGTAATTGTTGTAACTCACCCTCAATTCAACCACTTCCTTCCTCTGACCTCCCCCTCAGTCTGGAGAGGAGAAGGAGAGAACCCCTCAACCCCTCCTTCCCAAAACATCATTTGACTTCTGCAGGAAGATTTTCTTTATTTGTTTAGAAAGTTCATACACCTTTTAATCCAGGAGCTCTCTAAAGCGATGTAAACAATAAAATTATGGATAAAAATGAAGTTAAAATCCACAAAGCCTACTGAAAAGCAAATATACATAAAGGATAACACAAATAAGAATAAGTCACACTTCAAAAACAAATTATATGCCTAGGCAGGTGTGATGAGTATGAGTTACTCGTGCGTAAACTGGTGCCTCTCTAGGCTAATTTGCCTTGTTAAACCTTTCTGACTGCACAGCCCTTTCTCATCATGACTGTCTCAGTCACTAGCAGAATCTGTCAGTGGGCGTTTCTTGAATCTCTTCCAACATAAGAGTTGTTTGACACCCAGTCTCTTCCGCCTCTCACTGCGCGGGAGCCTTCTGCGCAGGGAGGGCGTAGGTAGCGGAGGACCTGTCCCCTCCTCACTGAGTTCCAGTGAAGAGTCCGTGAGCCCTCTCTCCGATTTCCCCATCTGCCCACTTTTGTTCCTGGTGTTGCGCTTAAATGCTTCCCCCTCCACTGAGCTGCTTCTCCCCCTGCTGCTGGGTCCTTCTCCAGCATCATCTAGGAGCCTCCCCTTCGCCTCCCGCTCTGATGTCAGTTCCCTGACAGCAGGCTTCTGGAATAAAACAGTTTTCGGCCTGCGGAACGCCTATGTTTGAAGAAGTTTTAAGTTAGATCACGCCATATTATACTTCTGTCAATATTTACCTGTTTGTGAAGAGTCACATAGATCAATGTTTTCTTTTTTAATGAAGCCGAATTAAAAGATACAGAAACACATACAGACGTTCCTCCTGACCTTTTCTGCCCACTCTGAGACTCCATCTGGTTGATCCACCCTCTGTAGATTTCCACAGGGCTGGTACGGATGCTCAGGGTCTTGTTTTGCAGGACCTCTTGCACGGGGCCCTCCAAGATCTGGCGCAAGGCATTCTGCCCACGGGCGTTGCGGTAGAAGCTCACCACCAGGCGGATAACCGTCGGATTCCCCGTGAGGATGTCATGGATCTGATCGACTTTCGACCTGCAAGAATGCAGCATGATAGGAGCAGTTGAGCTGCAATGCAACATGAGCACAGTACTCAAAGCACAAGCTTTTTCTGTGGTGGCTCCCTGTTTGTGGAATGCTCTCCCCAGGGAGTTTGGGCTGGGTCCTTCATTATACACCTTTAAGCACCAGGAGAAAACGTTCCTCTTTGGCCGATTGATGTCCGATGCCCTTTTTACACCTGGCAAAAAGGTCTACTTTTGGAGCTAGTAAGAGAAACAAATTAGTCCCCCTCTCTATATTTCTGCATACCAGTGATCTGGGTGGGTTCTCAGGTTCCACCAGAGCAGTGACTCACTCGGAGACACACCAGGGAGCCTCCACAAAGGACAGGTCATTCTACTGCATATTTAGAGCAACAATAAACCAAATCAGGCCACTGCAAATGATGTGGCAGAGTGACAAGCCACTCGGAAATAACCAGTTAGAAGACAAAACCAGCACCTCATACAGAGTCCTCTTCATCATCGCTAGTTAAAAAGGGATGAGGTGATAGGATAAGACCCTTCTCTGCTTGGGATGCCAGAGAGCCGCTGCCAGTGAGGGAAGGGAATACTGGGACTAGATGGATCTGTGGTCTGACTCAGTTCCTAGGAAAGGGAGGCTGACATCTTTACTAAGGCGAGAATGCTGTCAGCAACCAGGACAAGGAAGGCAGAAGCCTTAAGGGGAGAAGGGAGAAAACGTAGGATCAAGAAACAGGATACTCACTCAATCTCCTCTTGCAAGGCGCTCCTGAAGAGCTGGAGCAGGAGGTAGGCCTCTCTGGCGTTGGAGGCGTAATTGTACAGGGTGAAGACCACAGACTCCATGAACCTTGTGGACTTGTTCTGCGGCATCTGCATGATCAGCCGAGCCAAATAAACTGGGTGGGTCTGGGAGGAGAGAGATTTTCATAGGCAAAAATCTTTCAGCCTTATTGCCTCTGACTGTGGAAGCTGATTGTGGCTAGTAGCCATAGAGAGCCTTCCCCTGCATAAATTTGCTCAGTCCTTTTTGAAAGACTTGTAGGCTGATGGGCCATTGGTGCCTCCTGCAGAAGGGAGTTCCATAGTTTAACTATGAAGAAATGTTTGGTGTCATGTAATGGAGAAGGGCTTTTCTCTACCCCTCAGTTTGGCAGCAGGGATCACAATGTTGTCCCATGCAGGGCAAACACGTACAGAATAAGTGAGGGTGAGACTTTAAAGCTCAAAACGATGTCCAAGGAAAACCAACCCTGCTGGGTAGTGCTGCCGCTACCCCCTGCAGTCATTCAAATCCTGAGTCAGGGACACGATGGCTCTTGTGTTTGTGAATCCCAAGGATGCCCAGAAACAAGCCTAACAGTTCACTCCTTGTTGTTGGAGCCCCAAGCCCACAAATGGCTCAGTAGCAGATAACCAAGCAACGAGGTACCTGATTCAGGGCCAAAGCTCCCTTTTAACAGGCTGCACAAGGAAATAATGCAAATATTTTATTAAGGAGGCTGCAAAACAAAAACAAGAACCTTTTTATCACAAGAAGACAGTGATGAAAGGCTAACAGTGTAAAGACAGCTTTGGGAATTTGAGTACAGTACGATCGCATCTTAGACGGGGTTTCTGTTCCAAGGGTTCTGTGTATATGCGCAAAAACATGAATATTCAGAGCCTTGGCACCACCCGCATGTGAGCATCCCGGGGCTTCTGGAGCTGGTGTGCAAGCAAGGCAGAGTGTAAAAGCTCTCTTTGCCCCTGGTTGAACTTCCACAAGTTAAATGGGCAAATGATGCGATCACCCTGTGCAGACCTAAAGCTAGCTTGCCTCACCTTATTAGTCACAGACCCCAATTGCTTTTGAGGTTGCTGGTTTTTTTATTATCACATGGTACATAAATTTTATGAAATAAAAATAATAGACAGTACTAATTTTTGCCATGGGTATTGTGTAGGAAGACGCCAGCTAACCTGCAGTTGGTAGAAGAGGTGCTGATATGCCTCCAGGATTTTCCGCTTCTCCCTGCTGAGGGTCTTCAGCCCTTGCTCTTTGCTCCGGCCCATCAGATCAGAGAGTTGCTCCTTGTTCTTCTTCGTCAGCTTCTTGCAGTGAGAGACCACCTCCTGCCAAGGGGAAGAGCTGACGACTGATACACACACACAAAGCATTCCCCCCTTGTTTGCAGAGCACCGACAACAAACAAACTCGCCTCTTTCTGAACTCAAAGCTACACCCCCCTGGATGGCAGAGAAATCAGGCTGCAAACAGGTTGGTCAGCAATATCATGGATTAAATGGCAACAGCTTCTTTGAGAAAAAGAATCAGAAGAGGCTGTACTATTACCAGAACCTTAACTGGTCGACAGCACAAATTATCTGCCTGGAAACTAACTTGGCCACAGCAGAAGTGATATGTGGTTTCTCTAACATGGACTTTGCCAACCTGGTGCCCTCCAAAACACCTGGAGGGCAGCAGATTGGCAAAGGCTACTCTAGAGCATGCCCTTGGAGGTCACAAAACCACCCCCCAACAGAAAAGCAAGGGGCAGAAGGACTGAGCAAAGGAGGAAGTCCGGTACTGGAGGAGCCCAGATGGCCCTTTAAGAGGTGGGTGGGTAGTGATGCTGCTTCTGGATGTGTGCCTAGCTTGGTTCCCATCCTTGGTGGCCACTTGCCACTTTAGTTCACCCTAAATAAAATGTCCCACCACATAGATCTAAAAGGCCACCTGGAGCCCCAGTGAGGAGTGGGATAAATGGTGTGGCTGCTACTGCTCTGGCAGTAGTGGCTGCATGAAAAAAGGAAAGGGCAGCCACATTGGGGTGGGGGCCCACTGGAGGCACCGTGCCAAGGGCCCCTGACAATTGGCACCAGTCCTGGTTCTGCTGCTCCCTTCTGACCTGGAGGGTGATCCTGTTCTTGACCAGCAATCCAATCTTGATATCCATGAGGTTGAGGTCGCTCTCCAGCTGCTGGTTGAAGCGGATTCCCCTCACCACAGTCTCCTGGAGATCCAGCAGCTCCAGTTCCTCCCAGTAGTCCCTCTGGCTGCGTTCCAGCAGGTGGGCAAAACGGCGGACGATGCTGAGAGGTGGCTTCCCACTGTGTACTAGCAGGAGAGAGAAAGAGGCTGGTCGGTTTCAGAGTAAGACCTCTTGCCCAAGTACATCACATGAAGGCAGGTTCCCCACATTCTTGGTAAGACTCTTAGCTATGCACAAAAAGCCTGGAAGGTGGTTAGAATAACAACAAAAATATTGAAATTTGAAGCTTCCTTAGATCCAGTACTGAAGTCGCTGAACCACATACATTTTTAATCTGCTGAGTCAAACCAACATCGACACACACCAAATCCTGGCCAATTGAATAATATTTATTGGATCTTAGTCAAGGCTCAGTATGGACTTCCAAGGTTGTTTAGGAGCCAGGGAGAGGTTTGCTTGAAAATAATAATAATAACAGTAATAAATAACAAGACTGATATACTATTTATAAGAAATCTCAAGCAGCTTACACAAAGCTGTATGAAATAGTCATTGAAAAATAGCAATAAAACCAGAGTTTAAAAATAGTAAGTTACGAAGGTAAGTATTTAAAAGTATCAATAGATTTTAAAAACAAATGCCAAGAATAATATCACACATCTGGGTAAGCAGAGAGTTTTGAAGCCATAGATAAAGACTCCACCCTCTGGAGCAGAAGCCTGCCAATTTTGAATTTTAAAGTTATTACCTAAATGCAGACACACTGGCCAAGCCTGTGCTAAGTTAGGATTTGATAAATTATGGTTTATTTGATCACCCAAAACAGGAGTGAGGAACAGGATCCAGCCAGCAGGCCTAATCCTGCACTTCACCACCTCCCCCATTTTGTCAAGCGGCCGAGTCCACCCATCTGCCAAAGGCCTGGTGTCACCATGAAGCCAGGGGACCCAACAAGCCCTGCTTTGTGCCGGGGTCAGCTGTACTACACAGTTCCCAGTGGGTTAACTCTGTAGTTCAACCAGTCTCAACAGAGCTTGCTGTAAGCTGACTGGTTCTGACAGGAAGCCCCTGCAGAATCTTTTGAATAGCAAAGGAGGATTTTTCCTTTGCATTTCTTAAATTCAATCTGAAGATTCAAAGGAAGAATTCATTTGCATCAAAAAGTTGATGCTTTTTTAATTCAAAACTTCTTCCGCTTTCCCATGCCTGAAATGTACCATCCAGTATGGGACAGGTGGGCACAATTGGCCCCAAACAGCCTGATGGAGCTAACTAGGGCTTTGAGTCCAAAGTTCACCCCCCTGCTCAGCGGTTTTGCTATTGTTTGTTTGCTGCCAACAAACCATTACCTGAAGCCATAGTTTCTTGCTCTCTTACAAACCTTGGTTTGCTTTAACTATGGCTTGGTGTTACATGTGTACTCAGGACAGCCGTGATTTTTTTTGGCTGCCCCACCTCGGATGTTCACCAAGCTACAAAGGCACAAGGCAAGAGCAGCTGCTGAATAAGCCAAATCTTGGGGATGGGGGAAAACCAAGCCGTGGTACGTTCAATGGTCTGTTTGACAACTTCTGGCTAACTCATGGTTTGTTAAACAAACCTCGGCTTAGTGTTACATGCCAATCAGGCCAGTTTGCAAACTCAGGTTGCATGAAACCCAGGTACTTACCCAACATCCTGTAATCTTCTCGTGCCTTGTTAGCTCGTACAAATGCCTGGATTTTGATTACGGCCTTGACCTGTCGAGGGATGTCAAAAGAGGGAAAGTGGTTGGAATGCAGGAGAAGGGAAGGGGTACGAAAACATCCTGGTGGCAAACAGCAGCTGCAAAATCACAGTGGGTATATTTATTATCTATTTAATGCATTTAGATCCCAACTTTTTCTCAAGTGGGTTTTCAAGGCAGCTTTCAGCATTTGAAAACTATTATAAAATACTCATCTGGCACCTTCGTTATGCATCTGTGGCGCCAGGTGAAAACATTCTTCTTCAACCAGGCCTTTGGCTGATTAATATTCCACGGCCTTTTAAATGTGTTTGTGGGAGGAGGGACTATTGGTTTCGTTTTTGTTTTTAATTATGTACTTTGTGGTTTTATTCTGTATTTTTATGCTGTGAACCACCCTGAGATCTTTGGATGAAGGGCAGTATACAAAATTTTAGTAATAATAATAAAAACAACAACAACAATAACCACTATACCACCAATGACTATCTTGGAGCACCTGGCTGACTATGGCTAAAAATTGTTAGAATTCCTGCTCCATGACTGCAGTCATGGGATTTTTGTCTATCACATGACGGTGTGTGTTTTGACTCCACAGAGTGGAAAGTGACGGAGACAGGCTGTTTGTGTTACTGTGAAGTGGGGCTATTGTCCTTTGTTCATTTTCTCTTTGATGTCTGATGCTAGAGAGAGAGGGTGCCATGTTGAAGTGCTCCGTGTTTGTTTATATGTAAATAAAATAGATTAGCCAAAAATGCTGAGTTGCTGAGGTCTGTTACGCAAGCTGCGAAGACTCTGCGGTTCCCTAAGTGTGCCGATGTCTGTTGGCATCAGTTGCTGTGATGTTCGGGCAGAAGAAAGCTTTTGAAGCTCCCGAACGATCAACCAGGAGGGAGGGAACATGCCAGCTGGGCGTGTGTCTCTGCCAGGGTCCTACTTGAGTGCAGGAAGAGCTCCTGACAAAAATGGGTTTGGTGTGACCCAGCAAGGCGATTTTACAGTGCTGTTGTGAACAGGTGTGTGTGTGTGTGTGAAAAACACAACCTACTCACATTCTTCCTGAAGTAGGCCAACCTCTGTCGATATCGTCTGCGTATTCGCCACATCCGTACCCAGGCTTGAATCTGAACACAGCAGCAGGAACAGCACAGGTGTGAGAAGACCATTTCTGGCTGACGGGTCAAAGAAAAAGAAAGGCAACACCCTCCCTCCCCAAAGTATCTCTCCCCTTAACCTGATTTATTTTGTTAACAAATAAACATAGACAGGCATGCAACTGATCTGGTGGTTTATCATTTGTTTCATGGCCCATAAAATACTGGTGCTGGTGACAGCGAAAGGTGGGCTTTAAAGATAGGAATAAAATAAATACCTTGATGACGGCACCTGTGTTCTTCTGGAAATGCCGCAGCCTTTCCAGGTAACGCCTCCGTTGCTGGTACCCACGCCAGTAAGCCTGTGAGGAGACAGCATGGGAACTGGTTTGGGGCTGAAAAAGGCCCTGGATACAAATCTGGTCCCAACCACTGCATGATGGCCTTAAGTCAAATTTGCTGCTCTGGCCCACTTCTACCTCCTTTAAGAGGCAGCAGGCTCTGGGGGCTTCCCCCAGCCCAGGAACGCAAACCCAGGATCCAAACTGCCCCACCCCTGAGCTGCAGCTCTTCCCAGCTGTGATATTGGAGCATCTAACCTAAGGATCCCACTCTGCAAAGAGCAGGTTCCTCCACCTCTGGGCTGGCAGCCTCCCCCATAATACCCAGGATTTATGCACCTGTTAAGAACACTCAAAGGTGCCTCACGTAAATGTCGCAACAAGACACTGTACAACAGGGGTGGCAAACCTTTTCTGGTCTGAATGCCACCTGCACCCTGGTGGCTTCAGGTCATCTGCAGGTGTGGCCAACAGCAGGTGTGGTCACCCCACACTCTCCTCACACCCACAGGACAGTCTCTCTCCCCCCCCCTCCCCGTTGATCTGTGCAGATCCACTGAGGAGGGGGGCGGCGGTTCCAAGATGGTGACGGCTTAGCAAGCAGGCTTCGGAGCACCGCAGATTGAAGGACTGTAATTAGCGTCAATTGCTACCCAGGGAAGTAAATTTTCCTTTTTTTCACTTTTCTACTTTTAAACTTACCAACCTACTGATATTCTATCAGCACCTTCTTATCTATGCTACGGGAAACACCTTGGGCAAGTTCTGCGAAGTATCCTGGGCAGGCCGCCAGCCGCTAGCTATTAACCGCCAGCTCCCTTTAATACTTTGCTCCTGGAACTCCTGGCAGTCACCACACAGAGAAACTCTTAAATTGAACAAAGTGTGCACTAAGGAGAGGACATGATTGCCCCCCTCCCCAAGCAACAAATGAATGCCCACTTCCCCGGTCGTCAGACCAATCCTGTATCACTTTGCCCTCATCTAATTTTCCTTTTGGCCCACCCAAACTAGTGGGGTATCAAGGCAGCAAATTTTGCTCAGAGATCCAGAGCAGGCCCCCAGACTGAAGGTCAGCCACCCTTGCACCTGTCAGGTAATTCCCATGTTCCTGAGTCAGACTTCTTGTCCATAGAGCCCAGTAATTGGCTGTGCTGACTGACAAAGACTCTCCAGTGCAGAGGAGGGCCTTCACAACCCCTCCAACCTGAACCTTTAAATAACAACAATATTGATAAGCACTAGAAATCGAGCCCAGGGCATTCTGCATGCCAAGTAGGTGCTCCGCTCCTGAGCCGTATCACTGCCCCCACAGCACAGGTGTGAGCTCAAGGCAGAGATGAGTGTCAAAGGTGGGGTTTCTAATTATTTGCTACACCCACATCAGCTGCCCCATCACAGGGGAAGAACAACTTTAAAGTACGTTGTATGCCTGCAGCAAGAAGTTCTTTGGTCAGGGAGTGGAAGACATGATGGGGCTTCAACCTCCCATTGGGGTGCAAGAATATGTGGGCTCTGGCTACTGCAGAGAAAATAATTTACAAATCATGCCTTTCTATGGGCAAGGAAAACCTGGAACATTTCTACACCATTTGGTGGGATTTCATTTCTTCTGTGTCAAATTCAATACAAAACCTCTTTTCTCCCACCAATGTGTTGTATTTTGCTTTTTTATTTTTCTGCATTATTTGCTGGGGGTTTTTTGGAAAATGCAAACTTCTGTACTGCTATGCCTTGTGCACAATGAAAAGGACAATTCTTAAAAGTCTAGGCTCAGGGCAGCTGTGTCCTCCTACCTGGATCTTGAGAGCGGCTGGCACCTGCTTGCACCACAAGCTCCGCCGGGTTGCAAACTCCTGCCGGGCCAGGAAGCCCCTCATCCGGGCCTGCAGCTTCACAACCAGCGAGGTGCTCGATTCCCACAGACGCTCCCTATCGTGGGCAGCTGTGACCTGGGCAACAGTGGACTGTAGGCACAGAGAGATGCATGGGGTCAGAAGATCATCATAAGAGCTTGGTTGCTGGATCAGGCCAAAGGGGCCCCATCTGGTCGAGCCCTCTGCTCTGAATCAGATGTGCCCCAATGAGAAGCCTGCTCTCCCCACTTGCAATTCCCAGCAATTGGTATTCAGAGCTAGACTGCCCCTGGACATGGAGGTTCTGCTATCCCTGTAGAGGCCAACCAGATTGAACCAAAGGCTCCTGCAGTTTATTTAGCATTACACACACACACACAACCAAATATACAGCTTGCTAGTAGGTCAAATCAGAATAGTCATTAAGCAACTCCCTTCAGAAGGTTGCTATGGGGCCGGAGGGTGGGGCAAGGCAGCTGGAACCAGCCACCTCCTGATGGCAAACCCAGACACCCCCAAAACAGCTCTCATCCCTCACAGTTGTCCTTCTGGCAGCAGCTCCCTTTTGAGTTGGAGGTGAGAAAAGCTGCCCCACCCGAGTGGCCGATACAGAGCCTCTCACTCCTCCGTTCTGCTTCCTAGCTCACAGGTACAAAGAGAGAGACCTGTATTTCCTCCCGGCTGAGATGCTCCGCATTGAGGGCACAGGGACGAGGCTGGTCCCAGGAGCCTTCAAAGGTCTGCAGGCTGAAGTAATACTCTGCCCCATCCTTCAGCTTATGCCGGACCCAAGGTAGTTTGGAGTTCCCTGCAGGTTACATTTTTAAAAAACGAAAAGAAAGTTAGAATTAACCACTCCACAGAGACACTGTTGTAAGAAAGTGCAAGCTTTCAAATCCTTGAATTTGAGCGTTAATGGCAAAAAAATGAGGGTGGGCGGAGTGACACACATATCTCGCTTTACCTGGGGCTTTTTTGGAAGCCATGAGAGCACTCAGCTGGGCCTGGTAGGAGGCAGCACACTCCATCGCCACACCACAGATAGAGACGTCCGGATTGCGCAGGACCCTGACTGTCTGTGCCGCGTTCCCTTCCTTGATGGCTTGATTGATGGCAGCGGTGCCAAGAGCCACTGTGGGACAGATGGCAAAGGCAAAAGATTTTGAAGCATTGGTCCAGGTTCACCCCGCAGGGACAAGAAACCTGACGACTTTGATGCACTTATTTAAAACATTTTTAAATCACACTTCATAAAAAGATCCAGGGTAGTGTACAAGCAGGACCCAACTCTCCCCACCAGTGATTGCAAGAAACTGGTATTCTGAGGCATACAGCAGGGGTAGGGAACATTTTTTGCTCCGAGCGCCAGATCCTTTTCAGGATTGGCACCACAGGCCGTATATGAAAGATGGTTGGGAGGTGCTAACATGCCAATCACATGTTATCATCATGATATCGCACGACTGACAGGTAAGCAAGGTTGCCCACCTGTCAAAATCATACCCACGGCTTTGCGAGCCTTCCCGTTTAAACCAGTGTTTAAAAGAGGAGCCTGGGGAGACTTGCAAAAGCGCCCATTGAAGCAGCCTCCACCACCTCCTTCAAAGGGTGCTTTTGCAAAGTCCTTTAAGCTGCCTTTGCTTGCAAAACACACCTCTTTTTCTCTCTTCCCCTTCACACTTGATCAAGTGGATGTGGTATGGGGAAAAACTTGTAGCAGGCAGATTTAACCCACTGGCAAGCCAAGATTAGCCTGCAGACTGAAGGTTCCCCACCCCTGGGCATATGGCCTCTGACAAAGGAGGCTGAGCATGGCCATCATGGCTAGTAGCTGCTTGAATGTGTCTAATCTTCTTTCAAGGCCATCCAACTTGGTAGCTGTCGTAACACCTTGTGGAAGCAAAATGTGAGCTTGCCCAGGCTTTCTTGTTCCTGATCCTTCTCCCACCCCCTTTGCTCAGGCCTCCTCATGGCACCCTAAATGGTAGCAGACAGGACCACCCTTTAGGTCCTGCAGTTCCAATTGAGCCAGGAAGACCCAGACGGTGCACATACTTCTCTTTGCAGCTTCAGTGTCGTGGTTAGCTTTGGAGACGCCCTCCTGGATTTCTTCCCACCACAGCATAGCTCCAGTGTCCCCTGTCATCTAAGATAGGAAAGATAAAAATGATCACAGAATTGTCTCTCAGGGGGAAACACGGATCAAATATGCACTTGACAAGTTCACTGGGTGTCTGAGTCACCCACTACTTTCTCTCAGCCTAGCCTACCTCACAGGACTGTTGCAAGAATAAAATAGGAGAGGGAAGAACACAAGCACACACACTTCAGGAGATGGGAAGCCAAGCTCGCTCCACCATGTCTGCTGTGACAGGCCAACCCCATCAGGCCTCCTCTCCCTTGACTGTTACCTGGAGCAGTCATTCCATCAGTAGCAGAGATGGAAAGCAGAGCTCACTCTATCACCTTTACCGAAAGCCCAGCCCAGCTGCATCAAACACCTCCCGCCCCTGAACTATGCCAGTTGGTCTTTATAAGATCAACTCTTTTAAGAACTGGTGCCTGAGTTTGATTCCCCCCCCCCTTCCCTCTCTGTCCATTTTCCCTTGTGTGTTGTGTTTTTTTTAGATTGTAAGCCTGCAGGGGCAGGGACCGTCTACTTTCAAGTGATTGTTAAGTAAGCCATTTTGGGAGCCTTCTTGGTTGAAGAGTAGGGTTACAGCCACTCTAAATAAATATTCAGAGCTGCAAGTAGCAAGGCAAGACTTAAGAGATGGAATTGCAAACATGCACAGCACCAGTCAAAACATACTGGAATAGAACAAAAAACTTCCTAACCCCCACCCCATGCCACTTTATTCAGTCCAGTTTATGTGAATTCATAAACACACATTCTGACGCCGTAATAGTCTCCATCAGGCTTCCGGAAATGAACTTCTACAATGAAGTCTCACAGTTCTGGAGAGCCAGAGAATTCTGTAAGAAGTTAGTGTGGTTGCCTACCCCACCGCCCTGGAACCTGAACTTCATTCTCCTCCTTTCCTACCTGGGCCTTCCGTTTCCGCATGCGGGTCAAAACATCATGGTAACGCTTAGCAATGGGGAGCGTCACATCGCAGAGGCCGGAAGAAGGAAGCAGCAGGGCTCTGAGGGTTTTCTCTGGGCTGCTCTGCTCCAGAGCCTCATTGATCAATCGGACAGCAAGGATTTCTGGGGACGAAAAGGAGATTTCAGGAGAACCGGGAAAACGTCTTGACCAAGCTCAGGTCAAAGATGGAGTAGTCTATAGGCCTACATTTGACATATTAAGCTCTGATCTTTGGGCTTTCAATGTGCTTTTCCAAGCCCTTTAAACCTGTCCCAGACGACTTCCACCAGCACCACCTATGGAACCTCTGGCTCTCCAGATGTTGCTAGACTGCAACCCTTTGGCTGTGTTGAGAGAAAGCAGCCAGTGAACATAATTTGGAGGTGATGGCAGTGGGGAAACTGGGGTTAAGATGGGTGCTGTATGGAAAGCCTCTGAGGGCTGGGTTTAGGAACACAGGAAGCTGCCTTATGCTGAGCCAGACCATCAGTTGTCCATACTGGGCTCACCTGCATGCCACTCTAAACCATTGGAACTATGGTTTGAATGTGAACACACAGCATGCTGGTGTACACTGCTGAAATCATGGGTGCTGTGCTCTAAGCCTGCTCCTGCTGAGAAACAAGCCATGGTTTGGCTTAGCATTACATCCGAAAGCAGGCTTGTGATTCAGAGAGAAACAAACCATGGCGCCAGGTTCAGATGCTGTGCTAGGTCAGACTATGGGTTCATTTTTGCTAGCAGCAGAGCGGCCGGGATTTCAGCAGTGTGTACTACTTTGCTGTGCATTCTCATTTAAAACATAGGTTAGCTTGGCTAAGTTTTAGTCTAACTACGGTTTAGAGTGTCATACAAACCTGGCCATTGACTGTCAATGGCTTTCCATGGATTCAGGCAGGAGTCTTTTCCCAGCTAAACCTGAAGATACTGGGGATCGAACCTGGGACCTTCTGTAAGCAAAGCAGATGCTCTACCACTGAGTTACAGACCTTTCCTAAAGGGCCTCCAGTGCCTGTTTCATATTCACATCACTAAAATCAGAACTGAAAATGTTTTGAAAAGTGAAAGGTGACTTACTATTATTTTCTTCTTGGGCAGAGGCATTCACACTATTCACTGAAGCCTGGATGTCGTTCCAGCTCAGGAAGTCAAACTTCGTGTCTTGAGATCGGTGCTTCCATTGTGACAAGTCGTCAAAATAACTGAGAAATTAAAAACAAAAAAGCAAGACGTCGTCTTTGCATCACCCCTTTTAGAAAAAAAAGCAGCTATTCCCCAGGTTTGTGCACATGGCAAGTAGTTTATAGGAAGCGATTCTTTGGAGGCACTGAAAGGAATATTGGGCATATCACTTTCAAGCTGCCTTCTTGTTTTTAATGACAAGTTTCTGGTTGTAAAATTACAACTTACCGTACATAATTATAATGATGATATTTATTAATACCCTAAGTCTCATGGTGACTTACAGATAAAATAACAGCTAAATAACACGTACATTAAAGCCAGCATAAAACAAAACAGAGAAAAATCTATAACACATTCATATTTTTCAAAAGGTAGGATTAAAACATCCCACCCGCTCAAGGAGACCACAGATAATTACAAGCCAAAGGCCTGAGGGAAAATAAATGTTTCTGCCTGGTGCATAAAGTTAAGTAAGTAATGATGGCACCAGGTAAGCCTCCCTGGGGAGAACATTCCACAAAAGGGGAGCCACCACTGAAAAGATCTGCTCTTGTTTTTCCACACTCCTGACCTCCCATGGAGAGGGCGCATGGAGAAGGGCCCCAGTTGATAGTGCTTGAAAGCAGATGAATCAATTTAGATGAGTCACTGATTTAAAATCACCAAGATGAAAAAGCCAATTGAAATCAGTGACTTAAATAAGAATTTCCACATTCTGAAATTCAGAAAACATATGACACAAGCATTCAGACTAATATAGCAACTAGACAAAGTAGCAACAAGATGCAGCAGCGGGCAGCCAAACAGAATGTTTATAGACAAAAGGTAGAAACTGAATGCAAACCCATATGCCTTCTGTTGCCTCTTACTGACCCGTTTCATATGCAGTACTAAGCCACACCATGGTTTAGCATGAACACACAAGTTTCCAGAGAGGAGACTTAAGCCGTTTTACTCCACTTCCTTCCTGCTGTGCTACCTGGGGCTAAGCCACAGTTTGGCTCAGTGTGTTGTCTGAACAGGGGCTCGTGGTTTGTTTCACTCCAATCAAACCATGAGCTCAGTAAAGATGTGTTCTGAATTGGATAGTGGTTGATAGATCTATGCTTTATTAACCAAGGCAGCTAAGAATAAAACCTCTATGCTCAAAGTACTTTTGAGTACCAGGGTCTTAGTGACAGATTATGCTGGCTAAGATACAGTGGTGCCCCGCAAGACGAATGCCTCACAAGTCGAAAAACCCGCTAGACGAAGAGACTCGCGGAACGGATTAATTTCGTCTTGCGAGGCACCACTGTATTTAAAAGCCTGCAGATCTTCAGACCAGCCTGTGCCTCAAGATCTCCAGAGCTACAATTTCCAGAGTGGTTTAACAGTCAATCCCTCTTCCCAGGGAATTATGGGAATTGAAGCTCTGTGAGGGGAACTCTCAGCACCCTTAATAGACTAAAGCTCCCAGAATTCTTTGGGGGAAGCCAAGGCTGTTTATAGTGGTATCAGAGTACTAGGCATGACAGAGAAGAGATTTGGGGGGAAGTGGGTTTACCGCTGCGCATTGCTCTCTTCTATCTCTGACAGGCCCAAAGCAGGGCTGACCAAGCTCCTCCAGAAGCTGGAGGCGTCTCCATCCTTGAGGGCCTGGTTGACCAGTGCCACTGCCGAAAGCATCTCCACAGCGACAAACAGCTCCTCTTGAACCAGCTCCCCCTGCAGAAAAAAAGGAGATTCACAAAGAATTAAATGCAATAGCTTTTTGTGGGTGTTTTTTTTTTTAATGCTGTGTGTTTCCTGAAATTGTTTGGTGGGGGGATCCTTCAGAAAAGGGAGCTGCCTGGGAAACTCAGGTTGCGATGGTCTCAGGGCTCCTGGGCTTTAGGAAGTTAAGAGGGGTCCACCAGGGAAATGAGCAAGCTGCTTTGATCTTGGGTGGCAGAAGGCTAATGGAAGCTAGCCCTGCTTTTCCCAGCAATTTGTGAGCAGCCTGGACTGCACAGTGCACTGGCTCAGCCTTTTAAAAAAAGTACCATATTTTTCCATACTCAAAAATCACGTCAAAAAACTGGGGTCGTCCAATACACGGATAGTAGCATGGGGGGGGGGGGAGAGAAGCACCGCACCAGTCATTCAGTTGGTGGGAGCGTGGCTTCTCCAGATGCCGCAGTGAGCGATCTAGGGGTGTTTCCTGCCCGCAGCTGCATGGGTGGGGTGGGGAAGCTGCGCACCGCCAGCCAGCTCTTTGGTGGGAGCGCAAATTCACCCGATGTCGCTGCGTGTGGGAAATGATCTAGGGAGTGTTTCCTGCTTGCAGCTGCATGGGGGGAGAGGCTCAACAACTTTGGGCCATCTCCCCTCCTTTTCTTTAAACGTAGTCCCCGAATATGGGGTGCGTGTCTTATACAAGGGGGTGTCTTATAGACGGAAAAGTACAGTAATCACTTTGGCACATGCCAGGGCTCTTTCCCATTTGGGCTGCAAGCATGAGTGGGAGGGTGGTAGCAGCCATTACTGGACAGCAAAACTCAACAGCAACAATAGCAGCAATAATAATAACAACAATGATAATAATAATGCCTTTACTGTCATTGTACAACCTGTGTACAATGAAATTAAACGAGCCTCCCCCGCAAACACTCAATCTCTTATTGAACAACACACCACCTCGCAAGTCAATTTTGCTATGCAAGTTTCCGTTCAACAGCCTAACAGCCCACGGAGAGAAGCTATTTTTTAGCCTGTTGGTACAGCTGATTATACTTCTATATCTCCTGCCCAAGGGTAGAAGATTAAAGAGGTGATGGCTGGGGTGTGAGTCATCCCTGAGAAATTTTCTCGCTCTCCTAAGGCAACAATCCCTTGCAATGTCATCAAGGGACAGCCCATGATGTCATGTGCTGTATTCACCACCCTCAGTAGAGACTTTCTGTCAGTGGCTGTCAGGCCAGCATACCACACTGTGATACAATATGAAAGGACACTTTGTATTGTAGACTAGCAGCACTGCAGGGCTGTTGTGCAAGGAAAGGCCCCTGGCATTGCACTCACCTGCGGGTGCTGCCGCTGAAGGGCAGACAGCTCTCGCTGATAGAGCCCCGCAGCAAAGAGGAAGACATCCGGCAGCTGAGCTTCGGGGTCTGCCAGGGAGCGCACCGTCTCCTCCGCTACCCCTTTCCGAATGGAGGCGTTGATACGGCTCACGGCCTGTGTCACTGTGTGTTAGTAGGGTGAGATAAGAACATAAGAATGCCAGGACTGTTAAAACGGAAAGGCCCATCCTGCTCAGTACGTGACTCACAAAGGTGAGTTCAGATCTCTGGTAATGCATCTCAACCTGGTGCTTGACGACAAAATCTGCTCCTAAGTGGGTAGCAAAACCAGGGGGGCTGATGAGCGCACAGCATCCCACAACTAGGCTGCCACCCATGGTATACACAGGGTATATTGGGTTCTTGGGCCATCCACCAACCACAGCTCAGCGACAGAGTATCCCCCTTCCATGCATAACAACCCCACAGGCCTAAGGTTCATCACCACCCCATCCCTAAACAAATGAATACACTAATAATTATTCTGCATGTTACAAATAAAGTATAGGCCAGACAGCAAGTTCCCCCAGGAATGAATGGTTTCTGGCAATTTCCCAAGTGACACATATCAATCATTTGAGGCACAACACACCGAAGAATTCTGAATATGCCTAAACCCCCAGGGCCCACTCACTAGCCCTCAGTCCTAAGGGCAGATCTTCACTCACCAGCACGTTCTTGATCTCCTCTTTCGTTGGCCACGTAAAGCCCAGCTTGGATTTCCTCTTGCTCAAGCAAGTCCGCGTAGCCCAGCTCCTGAGAAAAAGGGCAAAAGGATGGCTTAAATGCAAGCTAATAGGGAGCGTGATTGGCTGGAAAGAACAAGGTTGGCTGGGGAATCTCACTGCAACTGGGCAGTTTAAGGCATTGCACGGAAGCCCAACGGTAGCCTGGCCTCTGCAGCGGAGCCAGAATTGTAATGAGAAAAGGCTCTTCCAACAGCCTTTGCCAACCTGGTGCCTTCCAGAGGTTTCACACTACAACTCCCATCAGCCCCAGGTAGCCCAAAACCTCTGGAGGCCACCAGGTTGGCAAAGGCTACCTTAGCACAAATTTTGAGCTAAAGTCCCCAGTTGTTTGTACTCCAGAAAGGGCTTTTTGCTTCAATGTAGAGAAGGAGCCTGCAAGCATCTTTAGAGATGTGTCCAGAACAAGATTGCTTCTGTCCTTGGGAACTGTCAGTCAACTTCTTTGTACATAGCCAGAGGCCTTTACAAAATATCAGATACAGAATTTCCAAAGCGTTACATGAATTAAAGGAGAAACTTGTTATGGAAGATCACAGGACCACTGTTAATAATCACGTATACCAGGGATAACAAAACACTGAATTAGAATCGATAATACTTTATAAATCCTGCCTTGGGAATTGTGGCCAATCAGCTGGGGGGGGGCAAATAGTTCCGATTCACAACTGCCCTTCTTCTCCTCCTCCTTCCCACCAAGCCAAATGAGCCTTACCAGAGCCTTCTGCTCCCGGTCAGTGCTCAGCTGATCCAAGTACCAGTCCGCATTCTCTCGCCGCAGGTTCCTCAAAGCCAGGGCAGGATCCTGCAAAGCGCAGTACAACCCCTGGGGATCCTGTTCCTCAAGGGCATCGTCCACCAGCTCCAGAGCACCTTTCACTAAATGTTTTCAGAAAATAAAAAGTAATCGCGAAGAGTGCTTATGTATCGAAAAGCAAATTGCTTCTCCCTCTTCTCAGGGCCATAGCGCAGTGGTACAGCACCTACCCTGCACTGATGCTTAATCCCCCCCCCCGGGGGGGGGCGGGGACCTCCTCTTTATAGGGTCTTTGCAGTGCTAAAAAAAAAAGAAGACCCCCACAAGTGGCTGCCTCTCAGAATACAGGCAGTGGGTTACGTTCCAGGTCATCACACACGGAAGGCCATTTCCCCCTCTTCCGGTGCTGAACATGGCTCGTGTGTGTGGTCATGCGGGCATCAACTACATGCAAATTGAGAGCTGCCTGTACAGGCCTTTGAGTACAATAAAACTTCACCTGTCATTACAGAGATATGGGTCCAAATTTGGGACATGGTAGAAGCTGGCAGAGCAAGTGGATAGAGAAAAAGGTTTTCTCCCTCTGTCATAACACTAGAACTCATGCACATCCAACAAAGCTGAATGCTGGAAGATTCAGGACAGACAAAGTTTTTCTTTTCTTCCCACGGTGCAGTTAATCTATGGAACTCGCTCCTGCAGGAGGCAGCGATGGTCACCAGCTTGGACAGCTTTAAAAGTGGATTAGTCAAATTCACGGAGAAGAAGGGTATCAATGGCGACTAGCCACAATGGCTCGGCCTCCATGATTTGGGCTCTCAACAATAGTTGGGGAAGGATGGGGAACCTGCAACCGCCCCAAGGTCAAGGCTGCTGGGGAATTGTGGTCCAAAAACACCCCAAAGGCAAGGTATCAGAATCTTATCTTTAATTTCACTCCTTTATTGTGAATAGCATTTTATAGAGGTATAAATAACTGTAAATATGAAAAGGAAAAGTATTCTCTAATTTTTTTCCTTGGTTATATGTATTTTCTTTTTCCTTTGTATTTTCTTTTGTTGTAAATATGTATGTTTTCTAATTTGTACTTAATAAAAATTTTAAAAAATTAAAAACAAAAACACCCCAAAGGCCACAGGTGAGCCAATGCTGCTTTAGGGCAAATCATGCTTAAGCGCCATATCTAGACTGAACTGCTGAACTCCAAAGAGGTCGCCCTGAGTAGGAAAGAGAGGCTGCCATTCTGCTTACCATTTGCGTTGTTGATGCTGCTTTGTATCTCGGCCTGGGTCAGGCACCGATCATAAATATCTTCGCCATCGGGGATTTCTTGTAGAGGCTGAGTGTGCGGAAGAAAAAGGCAACACTTTTGGTTTCAATCTGTTGCCCTCCAGGCTGTGCTGGCTGGGGCTGATGGGAGTTGTAGTCCCAAACATCTGGAGAGCCCTAGATTGGCAAAGTCTGTTTTAAGAGCATCTCTTCTAGCCAAGCATTCTGTGGGGCTCTAAATTGTGGACGTTGATTGAATATATATATATATATATATATATATATATATATATATATAGTATATAGTGATATTTTTATGATATTGTAAACAGCTCAGAGATTTCTTCAAAATATGGAAGGGTATACAAATGACCTAAATAAAACCACCACCACCACTTTCACCACTACATTTATCCGAAATGCATCAGTGTGACCACCTCCACCTCAGACAACCTTTGCTTACCTGCTTCTTCCCATTCTTGCCTTTCTCTGCCTTGGCCAGGTAGAGAACTTCCTGGTAGATGGCCCCGAAGCCCTTCCGAAGGCTGGAGAGCATGGCATTGGGGTTGTGCAAGGCCAGGATTGTCTCCTCCACAACCCCCTTTTCCACTGCTTTGTTGATGGCCAGGACTGCGGCGTGGACTAGGGGGTGGGAATAAGAAAGGCAAAGTCCAGTGTTAGGCAGCAAAGACACAAACGCCAAACGCCCTCCGCCCCACAGTGACATAGCAGTTTCCATCTTGGAACCTGCTTTAAAAACAACGAAGAACAAAGAAACAAAGTACAACGGCTGTGTGGAGTTCATTATTGCAGTTGGAATAGAACAATCAGGAGGTTCGGTGCACTTTTGCAGACACTCCCACAGGATGGGGGAAGCCATGTACCTTAAATGTGTGGTGTAGATGTGGCCTAATATGGTGACATGAGAGAGCCAGCAGTAAATCATACTGAGCAAGCTGGGGTTAACTCTTTATTGGCAAAACAGGATTTGCACAGGAGTGTCGGGTCTAATGAGCACAGCAACTCAGGTCTTGCTCCCATGAAGCAGTTGCCGAGGCCAAAGCTCCCCATCTCCCCACAGTTGGCTAATTCTTGTCTCCAGGGTGTTTCCCAAGCAACTGGGAGACTTGGTCTACATTCTTGCCTTTGCTCCTCCCACCGCATACCTCTCCTGGTTCTGGGAGATCAGAGGGAGGGGAGCTTGTTGCAGCAGGAGGGGGAGATACCCGTGCCTCTTCACCAGCCTGACCCACCTCTGCCTCTTGGCCTCTCTCCTCTCCAGTCTCCACTTCTGCCTCCAATTCTGGACTGCTCTCTGCCACAGCCTCTTCCTGCTCACTAAACCCTGTCACCTCTTCAGCTTCCGACACCTCCTTCCAGTCTTCTCCCTCTGATCACTTATCACCGTCCCATCATCAATCCTGAGCTCTGAGCCTTCTTCTTTTGGGGTTCCCCAGCTGGTTCCTCCCACTATTCCTCTGCATCCAACCAGTCCATTATATCTGGCTATCCCTCTGGGCCACCTGTTCTTTTCTTGATTTCTCCCCTGCTGGTTCAGAGGAACAATTTGTTCCTTGCATTTTCTGGCACAGGGCAATGGGAACTCAGCTGGGTTAGACCAAAGGTTCATCTTGCCCAGTATCCTGTTTCCAACAGCGCTTGGCTGCTCGCCTCTGAGAAGCCCGCAAGCAGGGCATGAAGGCAGGAGCTCTCCCTGGCACTTGGGACAGAGAGATATACTGCCCCTGAACATGGCCATTCCATTGGGTTCTCACAAATGCCCTCTCCTCCTCCACAAATGTTATCTACCTGCAGCCTCGTCCACCGAGAGCTCGTTAGCAAGGATCCCACCAATCTTGCTGAAGGATGGAAGCTGCAGACCATATTTCTCCAGCTCACGTTTCATGTGGTTTATTTCCTCCTCTAGGATAGGGAAAGAGAAAAGGTTCAATACGTCACACTCATTTAGCAGCAGCCACAAAGAGCACAATGCTTGGGCTGGGATTTCCAGGTGAACAGAAAACAAACACAGGGTCAGCAGCTGTCCTCCATCTGCTCCATAACACACAAACTAAGTGTCAACAAGGGAAACACCCAACTCCCCTTCTTACCTGTGAATTTGACTTTCCCATACAAATCCTGGATCTGGGGAGCCAGCCCAAGTTTAAAGAGGTATAAACTAGGAGGGAAGACAGACACAAAAATCTGGATTTGCTTGTGCACACACAAAGGACCCAAGAGACTCCAAAACATGCTCACAGCAAAAAAGAAGGGGAAATAAAGAACCAACTTCCACTACTCTTGAGGAGCCACAAAAGACTTGTGCTGCAATCCATGGTATGGGAGGGAGAACAGTCAGAATTCCAGCCCCCGTACAAAGTTTGTCCCTCCTTACCTCAAAGCATGAATACAATACACCACACGAGGCATGTTCTTTTTGTCATAGATGTCTGTTGTTTCAGGGTGAAAGATCTGTTGAAAAACAGAAGTAGAATTTCAAAGGCTTAACTTCAGAACACCCATCAGGGAAATGCCTTTTTTATTAGGGCAACCAAAATATCACAAAGATTGATGAAGAGCTCTGGAGGATTCAAGAGGCTGCACTTTATTTTTGCTAATATTTAGGTTGGCGGAAATTTAAAAAAACTGTGCTAGTATAGATTTTTGAATTATTTCATAGGGCCCAACACAGCTACATTTACTATTCACAGGAGTAATATGGGGGTGAGGAACTGGTTCCAGCCAGCGAACCAAATCCTTATCTCTGCCAACCTCCCATGAGTCAAGTTTGACAGATGGGCTGGGTGCATCTTGACTTGCCCAACACCTGATGTCATATATGTACAACAGGTATAGCACAGGTGGGCATGACTTGGCCAAAATTGCCCACTTCTTGGGCCAAATGCGGAGACTAGCCAGAACATAAGAATTGGCTGAATTGGGCCAATGGCCCATCTAGTCCAGCATTCTATTCTCACAGTGGCCAACCAGATGCCCCAATGGGAAACCCATGAACAAGAGCCCTCTCCCCTACAGTGGTTTCCTGAAAGTACTATTTGGAAGCATTTACAGCATCCGACTCTGGATGTATGATTTCATAACATCATACATGCATAAAGTAGAATATTCCACGCTGACACCAAAAATAAACTGTGGAGGCAGAGCATAGCCATCCTGGCTAGTAACCATTGGTAGCTTTTCCTCCATGTATTTGTCTAATCCTTTTTTAAAGCCATCCAGGTTGATGGCCATCACTGTGGAATCGACGCAGAGTCTTCTTTATAAACAGGATGAAACTTTCCTGAAGAAAATAAACTTGTTCAGAAACAGCATAGTTAAAGAGCATAGACAGAGGCACAGTCTTAGTGATTTACTAGAGTCCCAGAGCAACTGTGTCTGCCTTAGCTTTTCATAGCAACAACAGCACTATTCCACAGACTACTCCATACACAATCCATACAGCTCTCTGACTGAGGCCCCTGGAGAGACTGGCTACTTTTATAGGGAGAATGAGTCATCACCTGAGTCACAGTGACTTAGCAGCTTGCTGTTAGCAGGCTTAGGCTTGAATGATTGTGTAGGCCTTGCTGCTTCTTTTGCTCTCAAGAACCTTTGTCTCATGACAATCACTGCCTCCTGTGGGAGCGAGTTTCATAGAAGGAGGACTTTTACCTGCCTTGAATCTTCCAACATTCAGAGTCACTGGATGCCCATGAGTCCTAGTGTTACACGACAGAGGGACAAAACTTATCTCTATCCATGGCATGCGTAATTTTATAAACTTCTGTCATGTTGGGCTTGCGGGCTGGAGCTTCCCAGCTGCTGGATTAACGCAACCTTTTTAAGTACAGTGGTGCCCCGCAAGACGAATGCCTCGCAAGACGGAAAACCCGCTAGACGAAAGGGTTTTCCGTTTTTGAGTTGCTTCGCAGGACGAATTTCCCTATGGGCTTGCTTCGCAAGACGAAAATGTCTTGCGAGTCTAGAGATATTTTTTTCGCTTTCCCCCCCCCTTTATCTAATCTGCTAAGCCTTTAATAGCCTTTCATAGCCTTTTAGCAGCTAATCCCCTAAGCCTTTAAGCCTTTAATAGCCGCTAAACCGCTAATAGCGCTAATCCGTTAAGCCGCTAATAGGGTTGCTTCGCAAGACGAAAAAACCGCTAGACGAAGACTCTCGCGGAACGGATTAATTTCGTCTTGCGAGGCACCACTGTACCAAGAGACTAGAAGGTGAATCCATTACCGTGGGCAATCCTATGTGGCTCATGGCGTCCCGCCAGCGGTTGATGTTGTCCGTATGTCGGAAGTGCAGCCCGCAGGCCTAGAATGAAGGAAAGAAGAAGCACTTCATTCGGGGCAGCCTGAGAACCAAAACCCAGGGCCATCTCTCTGCACTTTACTGTGTGCAGTGTTAGAAACTCAGATATAGGCGCCTTAAACCTAGGCTGTGGTCGCCACAATGGAATACCTAAGCACCGTTCCCCTTCCCCCGATGGGACTTCTTCTTCTTCTTCTTCTTCTTATTTATTATTTCATTTTCTATCCCGCTTCAAATCTCAAAGCGGTTTACAACACATCAAAGCATCAAATAAAACAATCCAGAATAAAACGAATTCAAGCTTCAAGGAAAATGTTCCAGATCTTTCTGTAAGTGGCATTTTGCTTTCCCCAGCTGCCAGCCTGGCATCCAGAGATCTCCACATGGTCGCAATTGGACCCGTGCAAGTCACAAAACACGCCTGGCACCTGGCTAATTTTGATCGCTGACTCTGTGGTATCTGATAGGACTGAAGACAGGATATCTACTGTGAGTTTGCTATTACTCACAGTTGCTGTGTGTTGCTCTGCCTTCTGAAATTTTGCCCGCTATAAGGAAAAGTGAACTGCAGCAGAACCACCAATCTCTATTAATGTATTTTACATGGAATGAGAGGTAAATAGCTACTTCCATGCCAACTTGTTCCCTTATTATTTTGATTACTGCAGCTTTTCAATGCTCGATTTTGATGCCTCTCCTTTGAAAGTATTTCAGATTTTATGCCTCTGAAATAGATCAGATTTGTATGTTTGTGGACCCACCTCGTATGCTGAATTTTTATTCTGTTCCATTAATAATGGTTGTGTGTCTTTTGTAGCTGTAACTTTTAAAATAATTTTCTATCGCTGTATCCTGCCCTGAGACTTTATGATGAAGGGTTGGACAAAAAAAGCTTATAAAATAGAAATAAATAAAAAGAGGGTCCACATTTTCGCTCTCTGGGGCAAGGGGCACACTGCCCTTCAGTAAGTATGACTGAGCCCAGCTTCGGTCTCAGTCTTAGAGCTGCAGATGGGAGTGGAAGTCACAACCCCACCATTGCACACGGATCATTCCCTTGGGGGGCGTGCGTGCGTGGTGTTGCATAACCAAGGCAGCTAGAGAGCCTTGGACTGTGGAACAGGGGGGCAACAATAATCCAACAAGCCCCCTACCCTTTCCATCTCCAACCTCGGAGCTGAGTGGTGGAGGAGAGGAGAGAAAGCAAGAGATTGGTGTGCCACAGAGGTGCAGCAGGAGGAACTGAAGATATTGGCAACTACATGACCCAACAGAGCCAGTGAAAAAACTGCAGACTCCTGATCAAAATCAAAGCTAAAGCTGCCTGACGCAGAGTCCCACCATGACTCAATCTAGCCCAGTCTTCACCAATTTGGTGCCCTAGTGAGGCAAAATGGCAAAATGGTCGTGAGCTGAGCATCAGCAAGGGGAAAACACTCACCTTGAAACGGGCCTGGTCAAGATCATAAATCTTCCTCAAGGGACACACGTCAGGTGCAAAGAAATGACCCAGCTTGGCCAGAGTGACCCCATTCCGCAAACTCTCCTCCAGTTCAGTTGGTGAGGCCAGATCCTCCTTCAAGCAGCCCTCCATCCAGCTGAAATATGCAGAGAGCAAGGGAAAGGATGCCTTTTGTTTCCTCGGCACACATGCCCAGCGGTGGCCTGATTTATTCAATGGCTGTCCCCTTGTGCCTTCAGAAGCCGTTCTGGTGTCCTTCCAGACCCCACCCCATGCCCCCCAAGCAATAGTGGCAGAAGAACATAAGGAAAGCTCTTCTGGATTAGACCAATGCAGGCCCATCCAGTCTAGTGTGCCTTGTCCTACAGGGTATGGCAGTGTAGTAGTTAGAGACCTCAGACCTGGGTTCAAATCCCCACTTGACCACAAAGCTCCCTCATTGTCCTGATTTAGGCCCTCTTAGACCCTCACCCGACCACAAGGACCCTCACCGCTTGGCTTCTTCTAGATGACAGAGATACTGGTAGGCGATGTTCTGGTGCCTCTTCTCATCCATTTCATCCGCTGTAAGGCGCTCATCTGGGGAAAGCAAGCAAAACTGCTATTTGCACACTCAGTTCAAACTGAGGTTTTCAGACTGGCATTGATTGGTGAAGTATGATCAATCTCATAGCAGCCTCTGGTTGCTACTTTGCTCCTGGAATCAATTCAAGGAGCTGGTCTTGGCCATTTAAAGCTCTAAAGGGCCTAGAATATCTCTCTCTATATATGAATGAGATTCTTACAACATTTCATAACACCATACATGCATAAAGTAGAAGATTCCACGCTGACACCAAAAGTAAATGTTTGTATAGGAGGCGATAAACAGTGTATGCTGCTAATCGCAAAGTTGTATACTGTGAAGGGAGTCCTCTGTTTTCATTTTTAGCCATGTGCATAACAGAGCTGCACCAATCAGTTGTAAAACAGTTTTTTATGCTTCAAACCTTATGCCAATTTTATTTTAATAGTTTCAACAAGTGCTATTTGCCAGATTTTATTGTACCTATTTTTTTCAAAGAAGCACCCTCCAGGCTTTTCCAGCACCGTACCTCGTTATTACCAGCCAGACTGCTAGTAAAAGATAACTTACCAGGGATTAATATTATCTCCCATGAAAAGATTTGAGCCTAACCAGCTCTGGACATTTAGAGTTGTTTAGAGAATGTCTCAAGAAACAGCTTCCTGCCCACCAACTTTGAGCCTAGCTGTGCTCTAACAGCAACGCTATATACAGCCTCTGTCCTGTTGGCATACAAAGCAAATGCAGTTCTGGAGAAGTAGGAAATCATTCCTCCAGAATGGAAAGGAGCCCATTAAAAGAAAGAAAAAGAAAACAGAAGCATAGGTCAAACAGCTCCAGTCAATGTTATGACTCACTCACTTCAAACCCTATCCTTGCTGCCAAACTGGCAAGGCATTTCACAGGCACTCACTTCATTCCTAACGGTTCTTTCGAAAGCATGTAAACAGATATTTTGCATGGTAGGAGGGGTATGTGTGGTATGTCTGTGTGCTTACTCTCTCTTTCACACACACCCTGCTGCTTTAAGAGGAAAGTTAACAAAACATTGCTTCATAGGCAGTTGGGTGAGAGTGGATAAATATCAATGGAAGAATTGCTTGATAGGATCACATCCAACATCCATATCATCCGGCATCCTTTCCTACGTGGCCAAACCATGCATTGTATCTACCCCCGCAGAAAGAAAAGAAAAGAGACCCCTGCCTGAGCTGCTGCCAGTTAGGGTAGACAATACTAGCTAGATGGAGCATTGGTCTGACTCAGTATAAGGAAGCTTAATATTATTTATTATGATAATTATGCTTGTCAATCCAATTAAGGTAAGCAACTAATTCCTCTGAGTACACAGCAAAGTTATTTGCCTTTCTGCTGGTCCACAGACACAGGTTTTGTGGTGAGGGGGACCAAGGAGTCCATGGGTCAAAATCAACAGCCCAAAATTTCAATAAACAGGTTTTAACAGCTGCTTAATTTTATTAAGGGCTGATTTTACAATAAAAATAAACTTCCATTCTCATTCACCTTTTGTAAGTTACGATATATACCAAGAGAAACGAAGAAAAATCTGCAAATGGTGGAATGCAAAGTATTTTGAGATGCAGATGGCTGCACACACTAAGCTGGCAGTAAGTCCCATTGAACAAAACGGAGCTTACTTCCAAGGAGATATGCCTGTATAGAATTACATGGTAAGTGAATATGCTGCACCTGGAACAGGGGCATATCCCTGTGGCTCCCCCAGGCACATTTACCGGTACTCAGAATAAAAGCTTTACTAACTTCAACTGCACCTCCTCCCTGTCACAGGGAGACTTTGGAGGAGACCTTTTTTAATTAGGCTGAGTGTTGTAGCCATGAGGTCACACTTAGGGACTTAGGTCCAAGATAGAGATTTCAGGTTAAATAACGCCCCCCTTGCTACTTGTCCTCCCCCTTTTATGTAATATTTCGTCCGATAAATAGCTCTGAGCAGATTGAAAGCTCGCCACGTTTCGGTCGATCCCACCCACAAAGGTGTGGTCGAACTGTGGATCTCGTTTGCTTGTCTTCAGTTCATAGAATCATAGTTATTATTTCATAATGACTTCAAAGAATGTATAGGATTGCACCTAAATCACTCACCAGGGATGCAAAAGAAAAAAGCGACATAATTTGAAATGCAGTCAGACAAACAGATATCTGTGCTACATTCCTCTCCCCGGGTCCCCCACCTTCGACTCTTTGGGCTTGTGAGCCCGTCCCCCACTAGCCCAGCCCAGCCCAACCCCGACGGGCAACTCACAGGTGGGTCGGGCCTGCCCGCCCCCCGCGCGCTGGTGGGTCTGCTCCATCTCCGGCGGCTGCGCTTCCTCTGGGGGAGCCAAGCAAGCTCCGCGCTGGAAGTTTGAATCTCCCGCCGCCTCCCTTCGTTCTCTTTCCAGCTGAGGCCGCCGCGGAGGATCCTGGGATCTGTAGTTTCCTCGGTGAGTCCAGCCAAAGCAGTTGCATTGCGGGATGCTTTGTACGCCTTCCCGGGCGGGGTTTGCAGGGAGAGCTCGGGAAGCAAGGGAGGAGCAAAGCGTGTTCGAGCTCCCCAGTTTCCAGAAACCAGGGACGGGGAAATCCGCTGCGGGGCTGCAACAGCTGCTGGACTGCAACTCCCATCATCCCTACCCATTGGGCATGCTGGCTGGGGCTGATGGGAGCTGCAGTCCTCAAAACTATCCGGAGGGCCACCTAAGGCGCAGCAAGACTCTTGTTGCTTGTTTGTCAGAGACAAACGGATTTATGGGCGTCCTTTTGCTACAGTCACGAGTATTTCTTCCAGTATTTTCAGTTCCTTTTTGCGCGCATAATCGTGCTTGGTGTCATTTTTCTTTTCAAATGGGCTGATTAAAAGAGAGAGGTTCTCCAAAAAGTCAGGCCTGCTTGAGAAGAAGTAAAAACGGCAAAGAAGATCACGGTAGTAAATTTATTGTCGCATACGCTTTCGTGGTCTGAAGTCCCCATTTTTAGTCCTCGCTATCTTTATATGCATCTGTAAAGAAGAAAGCAAAGGAGGGACTGCTTGCTAAAATTGCAACACGAGGGGGGGAAAGGAAAAGGTGTCAATTACCAATCTAATCCCTACGTTCACCCCACAACTTTTTTTAAAATAAGAAAACTCTGCATAACACTTGTGAAAACAAGAAACTCACTCACTTGTTTTTAAACCAAAATTAAGAAATGGCACTGTACCTGGAAACACTGCAATTCCCGGTTCAGTGCGTGGAGCAAGCCACAAATCCATCTCCTAGTTTCAAAAATCTCTTTAATATCTGGTATATTCTCCAGGTGTGAACAAAATGTTAAACTGTAAAAAAAAACACAACCCAGATACTTCACTTTGATCTCAGCCACGAGATCGAGAAGCGACACCCTAGTACAAATGCCCAGTGCATTCTAGCCTAGGTTTCTGAGGGTACGGCTGCAAGTTCTGAGGGCACGCTGCCGGGACTGCACGCTTTGCTATCCCTGCACAAACGCAGCTCTTCCGTCCCCTCCGCGTGAACAACCTTCTGCTGGGTCATTTTAATCATAAATTTAGGGACCCTCTGCGGTTCGTTCATTTCACAGAATCAGAATTGTAGCGTTGGAAGGGACTTCGCAGATTGGTCTGTGGTTTGCACAAATCACATTTGCATAAACCTTACATGAATCACACAAAAACCCCTTTCCTAGAATGCCGTGTCAAATCTTTTGAGCATCGCTGGTATGGGCGCTGGTATTGCGGGGGTGGGGGGGAGGACTTTTGTTAGCGGGAGGGCAGAGCTATCTGCCACTCAGTTGGTCAGTTAGTTGAGTATTTAGTTACTTGATTTAGAGGGGGCAACTGCTCCCCCTGGCTACACCCATGATTGCTGGTAGTTTTTGTTAGGAGGTGCTTTGCAAAAGGTTTACCTTCTAAGTCTAAAGGTAAAGGTACCCCTGCCCGTACGGGCCAGTCGTGTCCGACTCTAGGGTTGCGTGCTCATCTCGCTCTAGAGGCCGTGAGCCGGTGCCATCCGAAGACACTTCCGGGTCACATGGCCAGCGGGACGAAGCTGCAGCTGGCGAGCCAGCACCAGCGCAGCACACGGAAACGCCGTTTACCTTCCCGCTATAAAGCGGTACCTATTTATCTACTTGCACTTAAGAGTGCTTTCAAACTGCTAGGTGGGCAGGAGCTGGGACCGAACGACGGGAGCTCACCCCGCCGCGGGGATTCGAACCGCCGACCATACAATCGGCAAGTCCTAGGCACTGAGGTTTTACCCACAGCGCCACCCGCGGCCCTACCTTCTAAGTCTAGATGGGAGCAAATGTGGGCACATTGCTGTCCAGTTCCTCCCCCTGGGACTCCACAAACACCTGACCTCAGTCCCACACCTGGGGGTACCAAGGCAGAGCACCCCCCCACACACACACAGAAAGGGGGAGCGGATGCTGTCAATAAAAGCCAGTAATAGGCTGCCACCAGTGCTTTCTGCTTACACAGCCTGAGGCAGGAGAGCTCAGGCTGCACCCTGGGTGTCCCCAAGATCCCAAAATGTAGAATTAGAAAGTTTTAGCAGCTGAACAGGACAAGAAACCTGAGAAAGTGAGGAAAAGAAGAATAAAGGACTGATTACGACACGGAAAGAACAACGGGAGGAGTGGTAAAGATCAAGGAAATTAAAGGCCTTTGGAAGATTGGACACTTGTAGTTACATATTATTAATCAATTAAAAGAAAAACGGCAAGAAGGACTCGGGGAGAAATTTGGACATGGAGTGAGATTTCCAAGCTGATAATGCATAGACTGATGGATATGGGAATTCAAACCGGGGAAGGGGGGGGGGATATTTGAAATCCAATGGCTGTGTAACCATCTTTTGAATTTTCTATATCTTTTATTTTTTATTTTTTTACATAACTTACGCATGTCATTTTATTTTGATTGGACGTGTTTAAAAAAGGGAATTCGTGGAAGGAACTGGGGTGGATCTTGGGGAAAATCTTTTTTCTTTTCTTGTTAATGATGTGGGACGGTGGTAAGATTTGTACAATTCAATTTGGATAGTGGGTTAAACAAATTAAGCTTCAAATTGGGAGTGAGAGCTTGTAGAACTAAATTAAGGAAAGGGAATACAGTCGGGGGAGGGAGTCCCAGAAAGTAGGCAATGAAAGTAAGGTTTTTAAATATCTTTTTTTTCTTTTTCTTTTTTTCTTTGTATTTTTATATTTTTGGAAACTTTAATAAATATGATTTAAAAAAAAAAAAAAAGATCCCAAAATGTAAGAGCTAAAGTAGCATTCCCTGCATCTGGGTCCTCAAACAAAAGAAGCCAAATCATACAGCAGGAGATGTGACCAAAGAGGTATAATAATAATAATAATAATTTATTTGTACCCCACCCATCTAACCAGGTTGCCCCAGCCACTCTGGGTGAATTCCAACAGGGCTGCCTTCAGATGTCTTCTTAAGGTCTAAGACACTGGTTTTAGAACCAAGGCTTAATCCACATAAACACGCCAAAATGAATAGGTAGATTCCCCCCCCCCCCCCGGGGGTCTGGCCAATTCTCTGTTTACACTTGCATGCTTCTGCCAGGCACATAAGTCTGTGCACCTCATAAGAATGTACCTGTGTCTTTAAAAAGCAACAGGAGACTGGTTGCATGCAAATACCATCACAGGTAACCTAGGGAAGAGAGAGAGAGAGATGTGGGTCCTCAGTTGTTAGAGCTGGTTGTCATGGAGAGAGTCAGCATGTCTCAGGCATACTGAAAAGAAACTTGAATCCTCGCAAGCCATCATGGGAAGGAGGGAGGGAGGCCAGAGTTTGCTCTGCAGGGACTGGGAGATTGGCATGGTGACAATTTCTTACATTTTCCTACAAAAGGCTTCCATCAAATTGCACGTCTGAAAGCTATATATGTACATGACCTTGAAAAATGTTTGTTGTACTCTACGAAGAAAGCCTGGGCATAAAAAAAGTCTTTTAAATAAGAAACCCTTGAAAATTTCACCAAATGAACTTTCCTGCGTGATGCTGACATTTGACAGCATCTGCAAAAGTGATCTGTAGCTCCACAAATCCTATCCAAGATCGCCAGCGTTCACTAGAAAAATATTACTGACTTTCATCTCGGTGAGTCATAGACCTTTATTATTATTGTAGGCATGTGTTTAAATAAATTAGTTACCAACTTTTCTTCTTCTTCTTCTTCTTCTTCTTCTTCTTCTTCTTCTTCTTCTTCTTTTTCTTCTTCTTGCACAGGGGCTCCTGTTTCTTTCTTTCACGGCTGCAAAACAGGAATAAATTCAACAGCTGAAGCCAACACTCACCCAATTTCCTCTTGTTATCTCTCCTCTCCCTTCTTCCCCATTGCTTTCTCACATCAAGTTATCCCTACAATTTGTTTTTGCATCCATCCAGGTCTCCGGAAGACGCTTTGCACCCTCTCTCTCTCTTTTTAAACCTCCTGAGCTGATTTTGAAACATGTGGTGTATTGCAAGTGCTGTTAACGACCTGAAACGATGACAAGGTTTCCGCTTTACTGGATGTTCTCCACGTGATGCTCTTCCTTGCTCGTGTTTCCCCTAGAAATGGACTCCCACCAGCTGAGCAGCAACCACTGATGGCTCTGGAGGAATCCTCTGTACTGGAGGCACAGCTCAGCCCAGAAGAATGCGGACGGCAGGGCTCTAAGGTGCCCAACAAGAAAAAGAAGAAATGCAAAGGAAAGGCAGAGGCAGAGGCACCCGGGGAACCTGAGAAGGAAGGCGAGGTGCCCTTGAGGAAAGAAGCCAAGATTGAAGATCTCACCAAAGCTGGCCACCAGGCCCTGCAGCTTGGTGCCGTTGGAGAGGCCTTATCATGCTTCAAGAAGGCCTTTGCCCTCTCCTTGGAAACCTCAAGTGCCCAGGCCCGGAAGGTGTGCGCTTTCAACCTGGGTGCAGCCTACGTGGAGGCCGGGAAGCCGGAGAAGGGCCTAGAGTTCCTCCTCAAATCCCACTCTGAGGAAGGGGAAGCCGGGGAGCATCTCGGGGACCTTTTCTTCAACGTTGGGGCAGCCCACGAAGGCCTGCGGGATTTCCCCAAGGCCTTGGAGTCTTTCCGCAAGGCCCAGGATCACTACCACTCGGTCCAGGCTGGCAGCGAGGCCAGCACCTACATGAAGATGGGCTACTGCTACCTGGGCATGGAAGACCCTTCGCGGGCCGCCCAGTGCTTCCAGGAAGCCGGCCGGGCCTACGTGGAAGTCGAGAGCCTAGAAGCCGCCGCAGTGGCCCTCAGCAAAGCCGGCAACTATATGCTTCAGAGCGGAGAGTATGGCGCCAGCGACATTGTCAAGGTGTTGAACGAGTGCCGCTTGCTGTGTGAGCGTCTCTCAAACAAAGCTCTGCTGGGTATGTCTTAAGGGACCCTGAAAGGAAGAGTTTGGGTCAGCCACATGATGCCTGTGTACCATAGGCAAAAACGTTCCTCTTTTAACCAGTCTTGTGGCTGATTGACATCCAATGCCCTTTTAAAATTTGTTGGGGAGTGGGGGATTATTAGGTGGTGGTTGTTGTTGTTTTTATTATGTATTTTATGTTTTTATATTGTGATTTGCGCTTGTATTGTAACTGCACTGGGACCTGCTGCTAAAGGCTGGTATACAAATTTAATAATAATAATAATAATAATAATAATAATAATAGGGTTGCATTTGTCTGGCCTCTTCCAGGTGGTGAGTCAAGGTTTTGAATCTGCAAGTGGTCAAGAGTGCCATACACTCTTGTGTGTGTGTGTAATGACTATGCATGCAGATTACAAGCTCCAGAACGGCAGGAGCTGGCAGCAAATTATAGTATAGACCTTCTGGGTGGTCTGCCTTCCTCCACTCCCTCTCTACCAATTAACCTGCATCTCCAAGGTCAGCCTCTGTGACCTCACCAGGAACCTCCCCTAGGTCTCAGGTTTGGGCCCTGAGATATCAGGGGCTGAGATGCTCCTGACCTGGCAACCTTAATGTATTACCTAGGAATCAGGTGAGGTGGGAAGAGGCCCACCCATTTGTCTCTATGACAACATGTCTTTGGACATGTAAATCATGACACTTAACTGACCAACGAGGGCCATTACCTTAACAAAGGAATTAGTTGGACCTGTTCACCAGATTCTCTCTTACACATTCTGCCCTCACAGGTACAGGATCACTTTTGAAAGGGACCCATTGGCATCATTCAGACGGAACCCCCCAAACCTATAAAACTATTTTAATATTGAATTGATTCATATATTTATCAATGTATGCTGTTTCCTCTCTCTCTCTCTCTCTCTCTCCCACTCTCCCCACCCCAGGAAAACTCTATAATGACATTGGGCTCTGCTTCTCCCAGCTCAAGATCTTCTCCTTAGCAGCGGAAAGCTTTGAGAGAGCTCTTCCACTCTGCCAAACCGATGCTGACGGCCGGTGTGAAGAAGCAGTCGTCCTTCAGAACCTTGGGGCTGCCCATAACACCCTTGGGAACTTCCGGAAGGCTCTGGGGTTTCACCGGAGGGCCGCCTCACTACACAGTAAGTTGCTGTAGAGGACACCAAGCTGGCCCAGGTCACTTGTCCAAACGCCCAGATGGGGTCTGACAAGAAGCACACAAAGTGATGTAGAAAACAAGAGACAAAAAGGGGTACAGTGGTGAAATCTGAGATAAAGTAACACTTAATATTTTTTAAAGAGCCTTGTAATCAGTAAAGATTTATTGCATCATGAACTTTGGGCATCAAATGCATGGAATGCTATCCTCAGTGGGGAGATCTGTTTACTGAAAGCAACAAAACAGCACTACAAAAACAAGGAGCCTCTGAATTCTAGAAGGACATGAGCCAACTTTAACCTCTTGGGCAAGTAGGGAGTGAATAAAAGATAGCATAAGTAAAAAGAAGAAAAATATATCTGTTCACCAGCCTTTGCCAACCTGGTGCCCACCAGATGTTTCTGTCTACAACTCCTATCAGCCCTAGCCAGCATGGCCATTTTGGACTACAACTCCCATTAGCCCAGTCAGCATGACCTTGCTGACTGCAGCTTATGGGAGTTGTAGTCCAAAACATATGGAGAGCACCAGGTTGGTGAGCGCTGTCCCCTCATATTTGCAGCATTATTCTTTTTCAAGTTGATCTCCTCCTCACTACTGCTGTTGTTTTCAAAGTTGTCTGTTTTGAAGCAGGGACTGGTTGATTTTTGCCAACAAAGCTCTTTAAGGCCCCATGTACACTGGTGGAACTTAATATGATGGTGATATCAGAAAACTGGGCAGTTCTTTTGAAAACAAAAATGGCTGTGCCTCAGAATTCAGTCCCTGTTCAACAATCCTTTTACTAGCTGCCTAACTACACATTGGGACGTGGGTGGCGCTGTGGGTTAAACCACAGAGCCTAGGACTTGTCGATCAGAAAGTCGGCGGTTCAAATCCCTGCGACGGGGTGAGCTCCTGTTGCTTGGTCCCAGCTCCTGCCAACCTAGCAATTCGAAAGCACGTCAAAGTGCAAGTAGATAAATAGGTACCGCTCCGGCGGGAAGGTAAATGGCGTTTCCGTGCCCTGCTCTGGTTCACCAGAAGCAGCTTAGTCATGCTGGCCACATGACCAGCTGTATGCCAGCTCCCTCGGCCAATAAAGCGAGATGAGTGCCGCAACCCCAGAGTCGGTCACGACTGGACCTAATGGTCAGGGGTCCCTTTACCCTTTTTAATTACACATCTTGGATTGAACATTATCACCTCCTGTGTATTTTACAACAGAGTGACAGGCAAAAACCCATCAGGTGAAGCTTTTTCCTGGCCCAGATGTCAAGTGAAAGGGAACACTTTGCTCCCCCTCCCCAATCTCTCTGTGTGAGGCACAAGAGTGGGGCCTGTGAAAACAAAAAAATTGTTCAGCAATAGGTGGAACGCTTCATGGAACCCACAATTTGTGGATATTTTTGTGCAGGTGCCCTGGGAAACAGGAGAGCTCAGGGACAGTGTTTTGGCAACTTGGCCTATGCGCTGAGCCAATTGGATGACCACGAAGCTGCTGGGGAACACTATCTTCATGCGCTCCAAGCCTTCAAGGACTCAGGTGAGAAATGAGCTGTGGAGACGGGAAAGATGGAAGAGAGATCCAGGGAAAGTGTTTTCCCACCCTGCATCACCAAGGCCAAAGGGGGTTGTAACTGTTTTGTAAAAAGCAGTGAAGGCAGGTCCAAACTCATATATTATTATTAGATTTATCACCACCCTTCAGCAGCAAATCCCAGGGCAGGTTACAACAATTTACAATTCAGAATGAAAAACAATTAAAACATAATATATTCAGAAAAATAGGGAGCATCCTGAAGACACACATCTCAGGTGTCAAAGGCCAGCCTAAAGAGGCCGGATAGTGAAGAGGTGAGACGCAACTCTGTGGAGAGTTCCACAATTTAGAGGCCGCGGCAGAGAAGGGCTCTTCCAGTGGCCACCCCCTAAACCTATCAGGGTGATGGAACTACTAATAGGACCCTCTCTGTTGCTCTTAATACCTGGGAGGGTCTGTAGGGAAGGAGGCAGTCCTTCAGATATTTGGTGCCTAAGTCATTTAGGGCTTTGATTAGTAATGCGAGCACCCTGAATTGGGCCCAGCAAAGAACTGGCAGCCTATAACAAGTGCCTCTATCCATGGGGCACTTCTTTTCACTTTTGTGTTTCTGTTTACCTTACCTAAGGCCAACCTAAAGGGCCAAAGCCCCTAGGCTGCATTCTTCCTGGAAGTAGCTGGGGGAGCTGTTGACAGGGAATCTGGCTTCTGAAAGTTTCCTAAACGTAAGATACATGTCGTAACTGGCAGCAGAACTCTGGTTAGGAACACAATACGTAAGAGGAGTAACAATATATATCACACTTTTGCCCTCCCACTGTGGCATTTGATAACCATGTGTTCACTTACTCTCATTCAAGTTTGAAAATCAGGCTACAAGGGATAGAAGGATCCACCAATTTCATTTCTCTGTTTCTCATTTGTCAAGTCTTAAATTCAGTCCTTCACATTGTTCAGCAATTTGCAATGGGTTTTTTTAATATATAAAAAAATCCTCATGAAAATTCATCAGCATTTTGGTGCAAATTTCTCTTAATAAACACCTGTGTGCAGTTTTGACATGTGCACATTTTTGTGAGCAATCTTGCATTTGTGCATGGTATTTTCACAAATAGGGACTCGGGTGGCGCTGTGGGTAAAACCTCAGCGCCTAGGACTTGCCGATCGCATGGTCGGCGGTTCGAATCCCCGCGGTGGGGTGCGCTCCCATTGCTCGGTCCCAGCGCATGCCAACCTAGCAATTCGAAAGCACCCCTGGGTGCAAGTAGATAAATAGGGACCGCTTACTAGTGGGAAGGTAAACGGTGTTTCCGTGTGCTGCGCTGGCTCGCCAGAGCAGCTTCATCACGCTGGCCACGTGACCCGGAAGTGTCTGCGGACAGCGCTGGCTGCCAGCCTCTAGAGTCAGATGAGCGCACAACCCTAGAGTCTGTCAAGACTGGCCCGTATGGGCAAGGGTACCTTATTTTCACAAATATCCCAATTTTTATGCTTTCCCTTAAAACGTGGATTCTTTTGGAACCAATTGTTTAGCAGGAGAGCTGCATCACAAAATTCAGATAAGGAAGAATTTCAAAGGCTAGCTGTGTTTCGGTTTGCATGCTGTTTTGGAAAATGATAATTTGCTTTAAATGTGAACTGACTCTCATTTCTCCCCCAACGCTACAGACAACAGAACAAGTGGCTGTGTGGCCACTGTCCCAGCCAACCCATTAGCAGCTGGCCTCCAGAACTTAGAGATGTAACTGCTGTGACTAGCTGTCCATTTGTTACTGAGCCAGGTTCATAGTCCTTGCATTCATTTACAAAGCCCTAAACCTCTTAGGTCCAGGGTCCGCTTTAACCCTTCTATCCCAGCTCATTCATTGAAGTAATCTGCAGGAGTGCCGTTTGTAATTCCCTGAGTTGGCAAGTCTCATTTGATGGCAACAGGAACCTGAGCCTTTTGTGTCATCGGTCCAGCCCTGTGGAATACTCTTCTGATAGACATTCAGCCAGGGATCAACCATGGCAAAAACAACAGGAAATGAGAACAGAAGATATGGAACTGGGTGCAAACAGATGAATACATAATATGTAAAGAACTATAGGATCACAGAAGAGAGTCTCTTGTGGACAAAGATGGAAAGACTTATTATTGTTAAATATGGAGGAATGGTTGTTGAAGTTATTGGAGACAAAGCTGGTATGTTTGGTTACTTTTAAACATCTGCTGAAAACTTTTCTATGCCACTGGATCTGTGCAGACAATTAAGAGTTCATTCTTCCACAGTAGTCTATTTCTGCTTTGATATTTTTTAGAAAGAGCAGTATCAAAATATTTTTTATAAGTAAAACAAAATAAATAATAGGGGGCTCATTTGTCTGTTCTTCAGACTGAACCCTGCTCTGCTTCTCTCCAACCCCTTCTCCTCCTTTTCTGCACAGGTGACCTTCCAGGCCAATGGCAAGCTTACGAAGGGCTTGGGGCATCGCACGCTCACCTGAGAGACCCTGGCAAAGCCATTTTGTATTACAAAGAGGCACTTACCTTGCTCTCTAAATGCCAGGTAAGGCTTGTTGCAGTAGCTGGTTCTGCATTTAAATTTCAGCCAGTATTTTGATTATACAAAATGAACCTGTTGCTGACATGCTGTTTAATGGACTTGATCAATGTGCATTCAGAATTTAGGAATTTGGAGTAACTGATGGCATTTCCAGACTGTCACTCTTTTTTGGGTGGGATTCAGTCACATACTGGCAAATTCAGGTTGTGCAATTATGGTTGGGTATTTTTCAAATTTAATTACATAATTGATTTATATCCCCTGCTTGCTCCTGAAGGAGTGCAGGGCGGTGGACAGAGCAATGGTTAAAAATAAAAAAAGGTAAAGGACCCCTGACAGTTAAGTCCAGTCACAAACGACTCTGGGGTTGCGGCACTCATCTCGCTTTACAGGCTGAGTGATCTGACGTTTGTCCGCTCCGCAGACAGTTTTTCCGGGTCATGTGGCCAGCATGACTAAGCCACTTCTGGCACAACGGAACATCGAAACCAGAGCAGCGCATGGAATCACCATTTACCTTCCCACTGAAGTTTATCTACTAGCACTTTTTTGGGTCCTTTCTGCTTGGTTGGCAGGAGCTGGGACCGAGCAACAGGAGTTCACCCCATCGTGGGATTTGAACCGCCGACCTTCTGATTGGCAAGCCTGGGAGGCTCAGTGGTTTAGACCACAGCACCACCCGCAGCATCGCAAAATAAAATCTAAGAACAGTTTTAAAACATTCTAAAAACAGTTAAAAACATTTTCTCACTCCATGGCCTCAGGGGGCCAGGAACGGTGTCTTTCAGCTGTCAAACGCCTAGGTGAACAGGAATATTTCTAAATTTCTCCTGAAATTTAACAGTGAGGAAGACAAGATGCACCTCACTAGGGAAGGCATTCCTCAAATGAGGAACCACTATGGAAAGGGCTCTGTCACAAGTCAGTGCCAGCCAAGCAGTCCTTAGTGGCAGTGCCTCCAACAAGACCATGTGGGACATGGGATGTCATGCACAACAAACTCGCTTCCCCAGAAGATCAGACTTGTAGTGATGAGGAAAGTGTTGGGGAAATTGGCTGGAAAGTGTGCGATAGCACTTGCGTTGATGCAATTTCTCGTAACCTCTACACAAAGAAAATCAGGAGAAATGATACACAGATCATCTGGAAGTGTCCTATGTCTGTTGCAAATTTGCCTGAGGTGAACAATGGTTGTTGCCTGTTATTGCCCTCGTTTCAAAGATCAGTAGATGTGAGACCCAGATCCTTGAGGTGGTATTTGCTTCTAACAACAAGCAGTTATAAACTTGTAAGCTTTCACCCCTTTTAGAGAAAACCGTGCCTTTTCATCTCAGAAACCTGAAAAGAACAACCAGTGAACCTACACCAAGGCTCCATAGCTCTAATACACTGGCTAGTTAGTTGATTAACTAAAGAAAATTGTGAATCCGCACTAACTTCGCTGAACCTATTACATACAGTGGTACCTCGGGTTACATACGCTTCAGGTTACATACGCTTCAGGTTACACACTCCGCTAACCCAGAAATAGTGCTTCAGGTTAAGAGCTTTGCTTCAGGATAAGAACAGAAATCGGGCTCCGGCGGCGCAGCGGCAGCAGGAGGCCCCATTAGCTAAAGTGGTGCTTCAGGTTAAGAACAGTTTCAGGTTAAGAATGGACCTCCGGAATGAATTAAGTACTTAACCTGAGGTACCACTGTATATCTTTTCTTTAATGCCAGGATGTCTCAGGAACAGCCCAGGAGCGAATTGTGAACAAACTTACAGATGCCCTCCAGAACAAACTGTCTATGAACAGCAATTTCTTCCATGGTGGGGGGATTCTTCAGTCTGCTTCCATGGTGAGTTCCCTGCCTGCCACCTTGTGCCATTTTGTTGGCATTAAACATGTGAGCCCCTGCCCTACCTACCATTGGACAAGCATTTGCAATGTCACGGAATGTTCACAAACATTAATTACTGATGAGGAAAGGTGGTTGTTGTTGCTGTTATTATTATTATTATTATTATTATTATTATTATTATTACTACTACTATTACTATTACTATTACTATTATTTTATACCCCGTCCCTCTGGCTGGGTTTCCCCAACCACTCTGGGCGGCTTACAGCATGCCCAGAAACATAATATAAACATCAAGCATGATGAGCAAACCATGTCGGTTCTCTGAGGCAAGTTAAAAAAAATTGGGGGGGGAGGATCACATGGGACCCAGATACAGACTGAAGTCTCCCACATGTTTATAGCAGTCCACATCTGTTTTAACAGCTGTGCTAGAATCTTCTAACATGTTACACAGAGGGAGAACAGCCAGGTAAGAAGAAAATAACAGCGCAAAACTATACTTCTGCTGCTGTTTCACTTCCTCCTAGTGAGAAAAATAATTGAAACTTGTAGAAGTATTTTTTTTAAGTCAGGGGGTTGGGCTAAATCATCTTCCTCCCAACCTGGTGCCCTCCAAAGATGCTGGACTCTGACTACCATCTGGGTTAACCAGAATGGGATGATGTCTAAAACATCTGGAGGGTATGAAGTTAGGGAAGCCTGGGCCAGATTGTCCATTAGGACTCTAGCTATGACTGTTTCTCTCTCTGCTCAGAAACAGCTTCCTACATCACAGACCTCAAGCCAGGTTCGATTTGCTATGTTGCCACATCGTAAGAATGAGAGCCTCCCTCCCACGCTGTGCCACGCCGGCGAATCGTAAGTAAGGGAAATGTGCATGTTATGGTGCCTCTGTCCAAGTTCTCATCTCCTTACTGTCCCTCTCTCCCTAGACTGATTTCCAGAGATGAGAGAGAATACAAATTATTGAAATAATAAGTGGACTGAATAACTTGGCAAAATTTACAAGATAATAGGACCAGATTTATGATTTATAAATGTATGGAAAACAGCCCATGAGGTAGCATACTGAAGAGGGGAAAGAAACAGACACTTTCTATGCCACTAGGTGGCCGTTTTTTACACATATTAACATGTCCAGAATGGAGAACGCCATGGGCTTATTCACACATCCATTTGCCCCACCAGTACTGCCCTGGGAACGCCATGGTTTAGCACTGAATTGAGTTTTCCGCAGACTGCCGTTGGTTCCAATTTAGTGCCAAAGAGCAGGTTGTCCGGGGGGAAGTGGCGGGGCAAAGTCTGTCTGAGTTGAGGGGAGAGTGGCACTGTTTGCGGTGGTTCCAGTACTCCTTGGAGAGACATTTCCAGAGGAAGCTGCTTGGGGACTGTTCTTTGGCCCCATGGAGCCTTTGGTGTGGTGTTCCTCGGGGTTTGATTTTATTCCATGTGTTCTTGTTTCCATTATGTATTTTGTGTTTTCATCTGGTATTTTTATGTTGTGAACCACCCTGAGATCTACGGGTGAAGGGCAGTATACAAATTTAATAAATTAAAATAAATTAATTAAAAAGTGATTGTCCCATGCCTAGAAAGCACAGGACAAGTGGGAGTGTGGGCGAGTCTCATGCCATTTGCTTCAGTACTTCCTGATAGCTTTCCCTTTGTTAAAACTACGTTCCTTTAGGTGACATAGACTAGGATGATATGATGTTCAAGCTCCCTGTTGAAGGGAAAACAATAATAGGCAGTAAATGAGCATGACTGAAGATCTTACAATAGAGTATGGACAAGAATACTTTCCTGGTTTCTGGCAAGAGAAGGGAGGATGTTTAACATTTTCTCGTTGCATGGTGTTTATCTTTTTCATTTAATGTATATTATCTCAAAGTCAATTAAAAATACGCTCCAAATATTTTATTAGAAATAACACATGAACACTGTTTGGTCACGGCTGATCTTTAAGAAATCCTGAGCTTACAACCCCCAGATTAAAAGAAGATGGTCACACACAGGCACCATCACAGGCTCAGAATGAACATCTGTATTGTCTGAATATCACACCTCTGTTTCGTGACTCTTTGCAGCTCTGTCACACAACAATGCCACCAGGCGCAGCCCATAGAAGAGCAGTCTGCACTGGCCCCATGGAACCAGAGCTCTTCTCAGTGGGGGGAAATGGTAGTCCCTCATAGCAGCCATCTGAAACCACAGCAGGCTGCCCATGGAGCATCAGGTAACCCCCTTTCTACTTCTGGTCCTGCAGTCTTCCCTGCATGGTGCAATTTTTTCCCCTGGTACAGAGATGGAGGCTCAAGTCAGACATCAGGCCAAACCATGGTTATGAATAAGAAACCATGACTTGCTATGTAAGGCTTGCCAACCAAGGTTTGTGCCAACCGTGGTTTGGTGTGATGCAGATCCACACCACACAATCTAAAGCACATCAGATGCACATTTAAAGCACACAACCTCCCTCAAATAATCATGGGAAATGTACTTTGTTAAGGGTGCTGGGAACCGCAGCTCTGTGAAGGGCAAACTACAGTTCCCAGGGCTCTTTGGGGGATATCACATGCTTTAAATGTACATTGGATGGGCTTTAAATGTATAGTGTAGATCTGCCTGGGACTGACAGACTTATAGTTTTGGGTTTTCCTCAACCTGCAGAGGTAACTGCAGCTTGAGATGGTTATGCTGAGCAGCTCTTAACCATGGTTGGCCTGTGGTGAATATGGAAGCTCAAACTGTGGTTAGTACAAACCTTGACTTAGTGTGATGTGTGAAGACAAGAACCAAATTTGGTGGTGAAATGTTGAACTTGCAGTTGAGGTGAAATAGGTAGATGAGGTAGGTCAACCTTTTGAGGACAGTGGAATTTTGAGCAAGTGCTGTCACAAAATGTCTGCAGTGGTGGTGTGGCAAAACGCAAAATTACTGTCACATCTAAAAGAGCAGAAAGAGAGACAGCACCACAAAATGGTGTGGGTATGTCCCCCCCATCAGCCTCCCCATCAATGGGAAAAGGCACCCGCATTAGCTGTGCTACATGGGCTCACAGAGAGCAGCTCTTTGCACATACCCTCCATTCAGATCAAAGGGAGGTCCTGGCTTCCAATGAAATGAGGGTATGTTTAAAGGGAGCTTGTTCAATATGGGATAGTCTGAGTCAATGCAAACAGGAATTGAGCAGGAAGAGAAAACAGTCCTTCATGCATTGTGTTTTGAGGGGGTATTTACTGAGACCTTTCATGGGCACCATAACATTGGTGATGCATCCGCAGCTTTGCCTCTCAACCACTTTGCCTCTCAACGCTTTATCTTCCTGTAGTGTTGGTTGCTGCAACACATGGAGACAGGATCTCCACTCCTGGAATTCCAAACGGACGTGCCATGTTTGTCAGCAGTAGCACTGAAGACACCAAGCAGCCCATGGGGACTTCTGCCTATCGCAACCAGACACAGGCTAACAGGTCAGCTCAGAAGCAATAGCTGCTCCCCAAAAGGTGCTGGCACTGGGTATATCTGCACGTGCCCTTAATTTCGAAAAAGGAAGGTGTTCAAAACATATTTTCCTTTAATAGTTTAGAACATTTATTTACCTTTTTTGCAATAAATAAATAGCAACAAATTCCCTTACTCTTCATCTGATCTGCCATCACCCTGCCTCTGCACCAAACCATGGCTGAGTGTTAAGTCATACTCAGAGTAGACCCATTGAGCTCAATGGACAAGTTAGTTGGACTCATCAATTTTCTTTGAGTCTGCTCTGAGTAAGTGGAGTCAACCCAAGGCAAGAATGATTTGGGGAAGGAGAAGGCCTGTTTTTCCATGAGCATTTCCACCCACATTCTCCCTTCCAAATGTTGTGCGTTTGTAAAATTTAAAAAAACAGAGGAGGAAACAGTGATTCTGGAAATCAGATCTCAGTGACATCCTTTATTCTTTTCTAGCAATCTCAATGCTTTTCTGCACCTGGATCCCTCCTGCCACAACTGCTTACAGAACAGGAAGTCCCACAATTCACAACTAAGTAAGTACAGTGGTGTCTGCAGGGCTCTTGCTCAGAAGGGGCAAAACCAGGGCTTTTTTTCAGACAGAACTCGCCGGAACTCAGTTCTGGCACCTCTCAGGTGGGTGCCATTGTCATTATAAGAGAACAAAGGGAGGCGTTCATGGTGAGATCTGGCACCTCTTTTGCTAAAAAAATAGCACTGAGCAAAACCTTAACCAAATTTTGAAGGAAAGCCTTTCTTTCATCTGTCCTGAAGCTCAATCCAGATTAAGACCAAGCTACTGTTAGTGGGTGGTTCTGGGAGATGGCTTGCTTGGGTCAGAAACTGAGGAGGCCTGTTGCAGAAAAATCTTGCCTTCCCAAAGTGAATATTTCTAAGTAGGACAAACAGCATGGCCTGTCATGGCTTTCCCCTAATTCAAAGGTTCTGAGACCTTCTGTCCCTAGGGCTCACTTGAGAGAGGTCTGGAAATTACTGTAGACCACGAGTCACAAAATGGTGGTGGAGGTAGAGTTTGGCATAACCAGCTTGCAATTTACTAACATAGGCCATATTCACACCATACATTTAAAGCACTAGGATACCACTTTAAACAGCCATGGCTTCCCCTCAAATAATCTTGGGAGCTGTAGTTTGCTAAGGGTGGGGTTACCATCCATATCTGATATTCTCAGGGAACTCTGGGAATTGTAGCTCTGTGAGGGGGAATGTTGGCCTCCTAATAACTCTCAACACCCTCAGCAAAGTACAGCTCCCAGAATTCTTTGCAGGAAGCCACAGCTGTTGAAATTGGCATCATAGTGCTTTAAACATATGGTTTGGAAATTGTTGGGAGTATTTGCCACAGTACTTTGGGTGTGGCAAGGCCATTCCACAGTCCATTTGAGAAACACTGCCCTAAACTCTGGTTTATGCTGCTGTTTTTATGTCACCCAGCAGGCCCCCACGAGTGTGAGTCTGGTCAACTGAGAGCAAGGGTCTTGGAGAGGTAGGTTGGTTCACACGATGTATAATAAGGATAATAATTTATTTATTTATACGCTACCCATCTGGCCGGGTTGCCCCAGCAACGCTGAGCGGCTTCCAACAAATTATAAGACCACAGTGAAAAACTTCCCTGTACAGGGCTGCCTTCAGGTGTCTTTTAAAAGTCAGATAGTTGTTTATTTCCTTGACATCTTATAGGAGGGCATTCCACAGTGTGGGCGCCACTACCAAGAAGTCCCTCTGCTTGGTTCCCTGTAATCTCACTTCTCACAATGAGGGAACCGCCAGAAGGCCCTCAGAGCTGGGCCTGAGTGTCTGGGCTGAATGATTGGGGTGGAGACGCTTCTTTTCATGTACAGGGCGGAAGCCCAAGGCACTGTCCACCCAGTGACCCGCCTTACCAGCCAAACACATTTTGGCACCTAAGGCGAACCACAAAATGGTGCCTCCCCCCTCCCTCCCTCCGCCAGCCATGGAAGAAGGGGTGAGTGAAGCTCTACATCAGGAACAAAGGGGGAATAAAAATCTCCACTGGAAGCAAGGGTGGGAGGAGACCAGCAGTGGCTCCTATTTGCCATGATGCCACTGTGGCATAGCATGGGGGGAGGGGTTTGCCAAGGAGAAGGCAGATCCAGCCTCCAAGGAGTGCATTGCAGCAGTTGCTGCCACTGTGGCAGCAGCAGCGGGTGATGCATTCCTTGGAGGTCGGATCTGCTGCCTCTGGGGATCCTGTCCACAGAGGCGGCCACCTCACCTCAGTGGTGGACCTACATTTTCTGGGCCTCTTCGCAATCAGCAACGACGTCTGCATAATCGCTCTTGTCTATTTCAATGGGGTTGTTTACAACCACCTCTACAATATTTGGGTTACTGACTCTCAAACTTTGGGATTGGTGAAATACATACCAATTTATTTATTTATGAATCAATTTGAGTCATGTGGCAAAAATTGGCTCTACCAAACCCATTTTTTAAAAAAGCAGCATGGATTGAAGTTGCACTGACTGGCAGCAGTGGCTGTCCAGGGTTTCAGGCAAGAGCCTCTCCTATCCTAGTTTTCCTGGAGATGACAAGGATTGAACCTGGGACCTTCTGTATGCAAGGCAGAGACTCTACCACTGAGCTGTGGCCCTTCCCTTCCCTCGAGGACCCCTGCTGTGGTGGTCCACAGAGAAGTTTTGGAACTCGCTTCTTCTCTTTTCTTTCCAGGGCTGCACCAACTCCTGCCAGACCCTTTGCCAGCCAAAGTTTGGAGCCTCGCCGCCAGCAAGGATGGGGGAACAGGTTCAAGTCCATAATATGTGCTCTGATGTGACAGGTGTGTCTTGCTGCTGAATTGACTGTCCGATGGGAGCTTTAGAAGGGTCTTGATGCTCTTCAGGTCCAAACCACCATTCGTAAGCTGTGGCACACCGCTTTTCTGAGGAACACAAGTGCTCTTCCGGGCCCGGCCAAAGTGGGACCACCTAGTCCAGCATCCTGTTCCCAGCACTGGCTGGCCGAGTGCTTCTGGGAAGTTCACGCACAAGGCATGAAGGCCACCCCAGGATTAATTGGGTCCCTCAACATCATTGGTGCTCTGATAACACCAGTTTAGTCGCATTGGAAACTGCCTTGTTAGACCACAGATCCAACTGGCTCACGGCTCACTACTAGCTATGTGCACAAAATTTCTTATAAAGTATTGTGTGTTTAATGAGATGATCAAAATTACATATCAACACATCACCAACCCTCCAGAACTTGCATTACTGAATCTGTAATGCAACTGTGCTTCATGGATAAACCACTAATTGGATTTCTTTAAGGGGCCGCACCTATGGCTCTAGATAGACACATGATGGAAGGACTTGAAAGGGACAAGCGTGAGTGCTTGCTACAAGAGAGGATGGCATATTGCCCTTACAGAAAAAACTGACTCACCAGTTTAGACCAGCAAGGGGAACAAAGCACAAAGTATGATTGCTATTGTGTGCCCTCCTAGAAGCAAGCGCACACTGGGTGAGATTCTGCGAGCGTTTGTGGAATTATGCCCTGGACCATATCATTTTCAAATCTTCTCTTTTTTTTGTAATAATACATCCTGCTACACTAGTGTCACTTCACACAAGTAATCTCCTTTCCATATACATGTATCTCATGTGCCCATAAGAAAATTGCATAAGCCCAAATTTGTTACCAAATACCTGGCTGGAATGCATGTTACGAAACACACATCAAAGATGTCTGAAACAATTGGGTTGCTGCTAATATTACCCAAGTATGGGCTATGGAGTAAATTAAATCTCTTATAGATGCCTCCATCTCTGTCTAAATGTGTGGCTTTGCAAAAGAGCAAAGAGCTCTGGTTGCTCTGTTTTGAAGAGTTGGAAAAACTGAAGTAAAGGAATAATGTTCAAACCAACCGGGGGGCTAGCACAATTTAAGTGCTTCAAATCCTCCACTAAGCTATGAAGCTCACTGGTTGTGATCTTTCAGGCCAGTCACTGCCTCTCAGCCTGGCCTACCTCACAGGGTGGTTGTGCAAATAGAGGTGGAGGGGAAAGAACCACGTACACCACCTTGAGCTCCCTGTAGAAAAGATGGGATATCATTGTGATAACATACACACAATAGCACGCAATCAGAGCTTTCCAAACCGCATGTCATGACATGTTAGTGTGTCGGCTGCAGTGTGTAGGTGTGTCACGTGAATGCGCTTCTCTCAGGGCCGGAAAGGGATGAGTTTAACCTCTGGTTTGCTAGTAAAACTGAATTACAGTACTGTGGCATGAAATGATGCATCCCTAAAAAGTGTGTTGCCAACATGAAAAGTTTGGAAAGCTCTGCACTAAACACACAAGGCACAACAAGCAGGAAGTTCTCCTGCAGAAGCAGCTTTCAATCCAATGGGAACTCAAGCAACAGCACTGCCCTGTGGGGCAAAGCTGACACACCCAACAAGACAGCCCCAGCCTGCCTTTCCCGAAATTAGAGTTTACATTGGGGTGAAGAGGGCAAAACAAGATTAAGAACAGAAGCAGAAATATTTTGTTATTGGGGGGTGGGAAAGAAAGCATGAAGCGCACAGCACAGGACAGACCTGCAGACATTCTCCCTGCCCCATAAAGCTGGGTGACTGTTAAGGAGAAGGGGGGTTGGTGCGGGGGTGGGGGAGGTAGCAAAGAAGAGGAGGGAGGGATGTTAGGGTGGAAGGAGAGAAAAACACAGAAGACACTTTGCGATTTCAGGGGTTTTTTACATCCCTCCTTATAGAATTAGGAGACTCTCAAAAAAGAGGGAGGTTATTGATGTTGATGGGGATTTTGGGGGGGGGAGGGGTGTTACAAAAAATATATATGTAAAAACAGCAACACAGGAGAGGGCACACGCTTCCAGGCACACACACTTTTCAGCTATTTTGCTATTTTCTTGCATTTCTCAATCCCTCTCTGTAAAACAAAGGAGCTGTTAGACAGGGAGTATTACTGAAGGTGGGGAATATTTTATATCCCCACCCTTGGGTTTCACTATAATCCTGTCTAATGTTGGTGTAATTAACTGAGTTCTTACTACTCGGTTTATCTTATTGCACAGGAGATCCTGCCCTATTGCGAAATAACTAATATTAATAATACATTGTGGAGCGGCAGTTGGAAGAAGCTAACTTGATGACCCAGTTGGATGGCTTTAGAAGAGGATTAGGCAAATTCCTGGAGGAGGCTGTTCTCCTTCAACTATTGCAAGCTGTATGCCTCTGAACACCGGTTGCTAGCAATAACAAGTGGGAAGAGTTTTCTTGCACCCAGGTACTGCTTACAGGCATTTCAAGAGGTCTCTCCTTGGTCACTGTGAGAATAGGATGCTGGATGAGGTGGGCCAATGGCCTGTTCCAGCAGGGCTTTGCTTATGTCCTAACAGATGTTTTTAGTAAATTATACTAGGTTAGATTTTGGATCCATGTTTTTATTTTTACTGTATGGCTGAAGAGCAGGGACCGAAGGGGAAGACTGTTGTTGGAAGACAAAGATTGTCATTCATTTCTATAAATCTTATAAGAACTGTGTTGCATTCTGCAAACATTTATTTGTGCTTGGAAATTCAATTGCCCACCAACCAGCCATGGCCATTATTCCTGGACTCCATCTTGAACATGATACCATGTCACTCCATTGACCTCTAGTCACTTCTTGAACAACAGCCCATCGTCCCGGAGAACATAATACTTGCAGCTTAAAATGAAAGTATCAGGGAGATAGATGTCCATCTGTCACTGATACGTTCCATGGGGGGGATGCACTGGGACAACCAATCTCAGTGATCACTGGTAGGAGGAGTTACGCTAAGACCAGATCATGTCATTACCGAGGAGACAGGTTTAGTCGTTATTTGAGGGCTATCCCTGCCTCTGGGTCTGATCTTGTCCGGACGGATACTGGAATCAGCAAGGGATACCCACATGACCTGAAGGTGCTGCTGTGCAATGCCAGGTCAATGATTCACAAGACCACTGCCATCCATGACTTGATCATGGATAGAGGACTTGACATGACATGTGTAACAGAGACTTAGTTGGATGAAGCAGATGGGCCTGTCCTTGCCGCTGCTTGTCCACCAGGTTTCTCTTACACACAGCAACCCAGGCCTTGTGGGCGGCCGGGGGGGGGGGTTGCAGTGATTTTTAGGAAGTCATTAGTTTGCACCAGCCGTCCTATTGGGAAGACCCAGTTCTCTGAGTGCATGTTCTGGAAGTTGGGAAGTTGGGCAATAGGGGCAGTACAGGATTCCTTTTGGTGTACTGACCTCTCTGCTGCACCAAGGATTCCCTGCCCAAGCTGCTTCAGGTCGTGGCAGATGTTCTTCTGGAGACACCTAGTTTGGTTGTCCTAGGGGATTTTAACATCCACGCCGACACGACCTTACAAGGGGCCGCTCGGGACTTCGTGGAAAGCATGGCCTCCATGGGGCTGTCCCTGAATAAGTCTGCCCCAACTCATAGCTGCAGACATGCCTTAGACCTGGTGTTCACCTCTATGGATGTTGGTGATCTGACACTAAGTAAAAGTGAAACTAAAGAAGTGTCATGGTCAGATCACTTCCTGGTGCAACTGGACTTCTCTGCGACCCTTTCCCTCAGCAGGGAGGTGGGACCGATTCAGATGGTCCTCCCCCGCCACTTAATGGATCCAAATGGTTTCCAAAGAGTGGTAGGGGATGCTTTGTCCCATGTTGATGGCCTTTCAGCTGATTCCCTGGTGGCCCGCTGGAATGTGGAGTTAACCAGGGCTATTGACTGTTTGGCTCTGAAGCATGGAGCCCGGACAGCCCCGTGATTTTCCATGGATCTGAGGGCAATGAAACAATCGCTCAGATGGGTAGCGTGCTGGTGGCGGATAATTCATTCTGAAGCTGACCGGACACGAGTTAGAGCTCAATGTTGAGCCTACCAAGTGGCGATAGTGACGGCGAAGAAGACTTTCTTCACCACCTCTATTGCATGGAGAAAATAAACAGCAGTAAGAGACTCTTTCAGGTGGTTCGCAATTTAGCAGAACCACCTGCTCCATCAGGGCCCATTACAGGACACATGATCTCCTGCAATGATTTTGCAAAGTTTTTTGTAGATAAAGTCACTCAGATTCGGGAAGAGGTAGACTCCACCGTGGGAGCAGGGCCGGGGCGGGAGAGTGCTAGAATCCTGTCTATCAAGTTGCACGGGATCAATTCCAATCTGTTACCTCCGAAGACGTGGACAGGCTGCTTGGACGAGTGAAACCAACCACCTGTCTCCTTGATCCTTGCCCATCCTGGCTTATAAAAGCTAGCCGGGACTTCCGGAGGTGATGAATGTATGCCTAGAATGTTGTTTTTGTTTCAAACTTTGCAAATTGTGGACAAAATGGATTGTTTCAAGAGGTGGCAGAAAGATATTTCTAGATTTGTCTGGCAGGGCAAGAAGCCCAGAATAAAATTTAAAATATTAACGGATGCAAAGGAAAGAGGTGGATTTGCTCTGCCAGACCTCAAACTTATTATGAATCAGCAGCTTTTTGCTGGTTGAAAGAATGGCTGCTTCTTGAAAACACTGACATTTTGGACCTAGAAGGTTTTAACAATGTATTTGGATGGCATGCATATCTGTGGTATGATAAGGTCAAAGCACATAAAGCATTTAAAAATCATATTGTCAGGAAAGCGCTGTTTAATGTTTGGATAAGATATAAGGATTTATTAGAAAATAAAACTCCAAGGTGGCTGTCACCAATGGAAGCGAAAGCCTTGAAAAAGCTCAATATGGAGGTCAAATGGCCGAAATATTGGGAAATTTTGGAACAAGATGGAGATAGACTGAAATTGCAGAGTTTTGAAAAACTAAAAAACAAAGTGCGAGACTGGCTTCATTATTATCAGATAATGGAGGCATACAATTTGGACAAGAAAATTGGCTTCCAGGTGGAAAAATCAAAATTAGAAACAGAATTGTTAGAACCCAAAACTAAGATTTTGTTGTTGTTTTTTTAAATGATATTTATTAAAGTTTCAATAAAAAATTAAACATAAAACATAAAAAAGAAATACACAATTCAAAAATACACAATACATAATCCAAAAGAAAAAAAAGGAACACAAAAAAAGACAAAAAAGAAAATAGAACAATTAAAAACAATATCACCTTTTCATCTCCATTTTTAAATTTACTTCTTTTCTGGACCTCCTCGTACCTCCCTCTTTTGTATTCCAGTTCAAATTGTTTGTCCAGCAATTTCTTTCCCTCTTTTTTAATCCCAATCTTTATTCTTAATATAATATAACATTAAAATTTTACCTTTTAAAAACCAAATTTCCATTTCCTTAAACTTTTTTAATCCTAATCCTTAATCTTAATCTATCCATAACTTTAAATCCTGTACAGCTGGAAGCCACTTATTTTCAATCCAACATCACTCTAACATTCTTTAATTTTGCAATGTTTCTGCAGATAGTCTTTGAATTTCTTCCAATCTTCCTCCACCGACTCTTCTCCCTGGTCATGGATTCTACCAGTCATTTCCGCCAGTTCCATATAGTCCATCAGTTTCATCTGCCATTCCTCCAGTGTGGGAAGCTCTTGTGTCTTCCAATACTTTGCAATGAGTATTCTTGCTGCTGTTGTTGCATACATAAAGAAAGTTCTATCCTTTTTTATCACCATTTGGCCGACTATGCCCAGGAGAAAGGCCTCTGGTTTCTTGGGGAAGGTATATTTGAATACCTTTTTTAATTCATTATATATCATTTCCCAGCAAAACTAAGATTTTGTCAAAGATGTATAACTTGCTG